CATAATCCTATTTTCATCAGTATCAAGGTTTGTATAAAAACTAGGTTAGGCTTAGACTATAATTCCCCTTGGGACGAATCCTCCCATCCTCCCGAAAAGTGCCACGCAGTGGCACTCAAGTTGGTGAGTGAATCCAGCAGGCGTAACGAGCGAAGTACTAAAATTTTTAAAATTAAAGTTTCGATTTTTCGAAAAAAAAATGCAAACAATATTTATAACAATAAGATATCAAAACTAGATACAAAATATTGTTCTCTTTTATATTAATATTTTAATAATTATTGATAAAAATTGTACATAATTATTTTATTATTTTAAATTTATTACATAAATTTTTGTTATGGTCGAAAAGGGAATCGGCCTATTTTAAATTTGGTCGAAAAGTGAATTGACCTATTTTAAATTTGGTCGAAAAGTGAACTGGCCGAAAAGGGAAAGGTACGTTTTTGGTCGAAAATGTCTATGCCCAATTAATTATTTATTAATTAATTTAAAATAATTTTTTAATTCATTGTTCCTTAAGATATTTTAAATTACCAAGTCAATTTGATCAGTTTTTAATTTGCCCAATTTTTTCGATTATTTGAGTAACATTAACGAGTTTTTAAGTATATATTTTATCTATTAATCTTTGAAACAAATTTAAATAATAAAAATTATAGTTAAGAATACAGGACTTTTCGAGGGAAGGGGGTTGTGTGTTTAGAATAATTGTCTAGATAAGATAACCTTTAAACCTCATGAGTGCCCTTAGATAACTATATTATATACTATAATTTTTAAATAAATGTACCATTCATTAAAATAAATACCAGTTATGAAAAAGCTGGAAAGAAGGCGAAAATGTCTATCATTTTCATCAATCCTCAATCACGTCCTTAGATTGAACTGTAAAATAATTCACTTACCTATCGAATACTTCGATTAATCACACAAAAATAACATTAAATATATCGTTTTATAGTAATACCTAAGTAAAAAGAAGTATTGATAAGTAAATATTAATTACATTTTTTATATAACTATTATAAAAAGCTAAAATATATTTTACACGGCTATTAATTATGTATTTAATAATTTATTTTTGCTATAGTTTTTAAACAATTAATTACAATTGTTTCAAATATTTTAGACTTGAATCATTAAACTCATAATTGATGAAATGATGAAAAAAGAGGCTGATCATATTTGAAAGATATATAAACATAATAGTTGAACAACTATAACTATTGTTTATTACAACATATTTTGATGTTAAAATTATTGAAAAGAAGGTTTTTACATTTTTAATATTTCCAGGGGGTGGACAATAACCATGTTTCCTTCTTCAAAAAAAACCTATTTAAGTCATTAATATGCCGTTTACAATATTTTGCATATGTAGTCATTAACATTATTTTCAACAGTATTGGAATGACGATAGATTTATGATAGAAACTATTAAATTCTAAAGGTTCCAAATTCTTAATGTAAAATACAATAATAATTGGCAAAATGAATAGTGTTATATGTGTTATATGATATCAAGTAATGTGATCCTCAGACTCAATGAACTTAGGATTATAAATCCACACGAACGTACAATACATTTTAAAACTATTTGCAGTAACCTTTGACAACTAGTTTATTAGTTTAATATAGTTAAATTGTCAATGTCATTAAATGGTATACGTCAAACCATAAATAAAAATCAATTTACAACCAATCAATAATATAGGCTATAGCCTACACAAGGTATACATTAATAGATATATTAATTGTTAGTATATGACCGAAGAATAAATTGAAAATTAGCAGTAATATATATTTGTTGTTGTATACAAGCTCGAGTCAATAAGTTCATTAAGTGACGTTAATTTCTCTAGTTTGACTAGCCACATTGTTTTTAAAAACTACAACGATGATTTTTTAGTTTATAATTAAAACCACTAAACAAATTGCACTGAAACAATTATTGAGAAATAATAATTGAATGTCAGTTTTATAACATTTGAAACTAAAAAATGTCCTTCGATAATCATTACCTATAATTTGAGATTCTCATTGCAAAACAGTTTTACCGTGTGCGGAAGGCCTAAGAGTAACATATTTAAGAATGATTGTTATAATATTATAATACTTATTATCAGTGCCGGCACTCAGATTTGAGGAGTTATTATAAATTCCGCCCAAAAAAATATACAGGTATAATAATGGATTTGTCAATCGTCAATCATGTCATACCTTATCAGCTTTGCCACATATTGTGTATCTAATTTTGGAAATTTTAGATAGAAATATTATAAATTGTGTTCAGTACACGTCTTAGAGTTTTATACGCTTATACACTATAATGGCTCAATTTATCGAATCCAGAATGTCAATATATATTTTTAATATTAGACGATTTAAAATTTTTCAAAGTAAATGTAGGATCTGTTAATTAATCATCAATTTTTTTTTTGCGGAATTTACATGTACCTTATTTCACCTGTAGTTCATTTTAGGCGGAATTTACATGCGTCCGATTTGAGAGACTCTGTGCAATTTATAAAAACGAGGCACCTCCCACAATTACTGAAAAACTCAATAGTCGTAGTAACTATACTATCTTGATTCTTATCTGTATACTATTCTTTACGGTTTAAGAATACACCATCTGTGTTAGTAATTACTGTAGTGGCGGCATTAGAATTTGTTTGTAACTCGGATCTGACAAATGTATATAAATGTATATATGTATATAGCCGTCAACATCGGCGAATCATCCGAAAAAAAAAAAACCTTACGTAATACGTAATCATACCAGTATAAATGATATAAAAATATTTATATATTATCCAATATAATATAAATCCAATATAATAATGTAATTCCTATCAATAAAAAAGCATGAAGTTCTTGCGGTCGCATAAGAGCGAGGCTCTGTATGGCCGCCCTTCCAGTACACCCCGTGCTTACATATTAGTGGTGACTTAAAAAAAAAAAAAAAAATAATAAGAAAATCTATTTACAAAACCACAAAATATTATATTTATATATTGATGCTTATCAAAGGTATACTAAAATCATAGACGGAAATCGGGGGAGGGGAGGCTTGAGGGAACTAAGCCCCCAAAAAATGTAAAGTACTGGTCTTAGCCCCCCTAGTTGTAAAAATTGTTAAGTGACTAAAAATACAATAATTATTACAATTGTAAAAGGCATTTTTAATAACTGAATTAAAAAAAATATTCTGTGATAAAAATTAAATCAAATTCGTAAGATTTTACAAACTTATTGTCATAAGTCATGACTTAGACCGATCGTAATTAATTTAATATTAATAATATTTAATAATACCTGCATTAATTGTTTAATTTAATTAATTAATAATTTTTGTTTAGAATAACTACTCCAAAAATGTTTAAGATAAGGCACCTAATTGTTTTTTTTGGTTAAATTGTTGAGTATGTCAAATTGTCAAACTTTGTAAATTGCCTTGTTGAAGTAAATAATTGCGTACAGTGGTACCTATAAATGTAATAAACAAATAATGCTCAGCCCCCTCACTAATTTCACCAAATTTCCGTTTATGACTAAAACTATATTATTATAAGTACACATTATACGAACATTAGTCCTTTGTCTGACATAATGGTGTCGGAATATAGTGTATAAAGATTAAGTTTATAATAAATAAAAACGTTTAGTCTAAGGAGAGTGTAGAAAACTCCACGTTTTATACGTCCTAGAAGAGAACATATAGTGTAATATAGTGATCATATATGGTTTTAAAATTCCGACAACTCGATTAGAAAATGTTTTACTACTCATGATAATATTTGTTATTATTGATCGATCGTCGTACATGTACATTGCACATAATATTATTATCGTTAGGTCGAAATAAAAATTAAATTCTTAACTCTGAAACCACAATCGACAGTTAGGAGATAAAAATAATTTGTTTTCCTATCACGCTCTGTAAAAATACGAATAAATATACATAAAAAAATCGGTTTCGTCCGAATCGCAAAATATTCAGTTCGTTGTACCACATACACGATGCCTACGCGGATATATTGTACAATAAAAATATATTATATTATACTGAAAATTATATTATTGTTGCAGTGATACACGGAGTGTTTATTTTTTCGACTCTGGACGTGCATGAATCGCACGCAGAAAAAATGCATCAGCCAAATAGGGTCGGTGCATAACAATCCTAACCGGGGCAGATGCCTGCAGTGAAATTGCCAGTGCTTGTGCGTGCGTGTACTAATGTGTGTGCGCCCGAGTGTGTGTGTGTGTGTGTGGGAGCTGTACACACGATGTCGGCGTGGGCTACAACTGCACGTCCCCCCTTATGTCGCCCCCTTAATCTAGATCACGGTTTCACATATTTTTTCCCCGTAACCCCATTCCGTGTGTCCGATTTCCGTCGTCGATGTAAATAACAACAACTGTCGCACGAAGGTGGCAGTGGTGGGGATTGTGCACGGGTGACGGCGACGGCGGCATTGGCTGACGGGTGTAGTCGACGGGAGGGGGCCGTTGTTTTGTCTGGTCTGACGTCGCCGCCGTCGTCGACGGTATCGCGTAGTAAGAGCTTGTGTGTGTGTGTGTGTGTGTGTGTGTGCGCGTGCGTGTGTGCGTGCGTGCGTACGTGCGTTTTCGTGTGAGTGTATATTGCGCGTTTGCCGAGTCGATTGCTGCGTGTTGTGTGTACATACGCGCGCGAACCAAACCGCACTTGTCTGCACCGTATCGGACGTATCTACCGTCTGTAGTAATACAATATTATACGTATACTATATTTATACATATACATTTCATTTTCGCGTCCAAGTGCGGTCTAGGCACTTATTTTTCCGTTTCGCCAATTTGTGCAAACTTCGAGTGTATATTTTATATTATAATATAATATAAAGTCATTTTGGGTGTGTAGTATATATTATATATAAATTAGTTATTTATTCTTTACTGAATACATATATATATATATATATATATATATACTTGGATACTCTAATGTATAAAGATTTCAAATCCATACAATATATAATCCAAGTGGTAGCACAATAATGTAAAAGTTTGATGTTTGAAATAATTATAGTAATAAAAAAATAAAAATTTTAAAAAACGTGACATACACATGGTGTATACTCGTCGCAATAATAATAATAATAAAAATATACCAACCTACACCGCGACATATATTCATTCATTAAAAAACCCGAGTGCATAATATAATATACATCGATTTCGTGGACGATCGGTCGGTCGTGTTGTATCGTCATCGTTGTTGTTGTTGTCGTCGTCGTCGTCGTAGTGTAGTATCATAGTGCTCGTTGTCGCAGTCGTACTCGTGTGGAACTCGTTGTTTCCTTAATATCAGCAGCAGCAACAACAACAACAATAGCAGTGGCAACAACAATAATTATATATTATTAATACATCCCGTACGGTGTAAATAATATACTAATATTATTATTTTAACAGTGGAGTTCGTAAGTGACGGTATAGACGAATCGGGTTTTTCCGTTATGATGTTATTTCGCGTTGTTTTGATCGCATCGGTCTTCGGTGTCAATGACCTTTTCGCCGTGGTGCGTGTTATGTTGACAATGGCGGAACAACGCGCGTTCAGTGCACATTTTTCTGTTAGAAACGTCCTCCGCTGAAGCATTTTTCAAACCATTCAATCCGTCATCGTTTTTTTTTTAAACGTTATTGTTACTATTATTGTTATTATTATTATAATTATCATCATCATCGTCGTCGTTATCCATCGGACCGTACGATCGGAAGTCGTATTGTTTCACGTAGTATTTACTATCAACGACCACCACAAAACCAATAATAACAATAATAATATCGGTATCGTGATATTGCGGAGACGAGTTCTAAAAAGTAAAAATATTTATAATACATATTTAACTAATTTTACATATTTAAAGACGAGTTGCACGCGACCGTGCAATAGGACATCGTATACTATTATTATTATTATTTTATTTGTGTCGAGTGTTTTTTTCATAAAAAAACAAGTGTGTGTGTGTGTGTGTCCTTCTGCGGTGTTCCAATTATAATGGATAAGTACGTCACCAGCAACTGTGTAGAGAGGTATGTACCATTTAATATTATTAAAAACATGTGTGAGAGTGTACTGCATCTATCTACCTATCACTGTGAATTATGAAATTAATAAAATAACAATAAATCATTTGATGATTGCACATATTTTATAGGCTTACCATAATATTAGACAAAGAAAGATAGTTAGATATTAACTCTGTAACATATACCTACATGTTGATGGATCTTATATAATTATAGGTTGAGGATAAATAGATTATAAATGATAGAAATAAAATGAAAATAGTGTTCAAATTAAATAGTTCTGGATTTTTAAGAATAAAAGAAAATTTTTTCTTATGAACAAATTTTTATATTTGATAAGTAGTTCATGCAAAATTATCAGTACTGATAAGCAATGCCTATACATTACCTAATATTACTACTACTACTTCTACTACTATTATTATTGTTATTGTTAATCATTTACTATGAATGTTTGAATTATGAATCAAACATACATACCATTTTGATCTGCTCATATTTAGTATATTGTCAATAAGTGACATTCTATCATTAGTGAGCTGCAGTACATATTGTGTTCTTCTCTTTTATAGTCCGACTATTAGTGTAAGTATTATGACTTATGCGTAAGTAATCATATCAACAATTCAAAAGCAAATGTTTTTTATTGTTTACCTTACTTTCTTTGAAAATTTTAAACAATTTAAATGTACTTTTAAATTTGATAAATTTTACATTTTATAAACGTGGGATTTTGTATTTCGCTGAGAATAATAATAATAATAAAAATATTTGTTTTTTAAGTATCTGAAAGAGTTTGGCAATAATTCAATGATTATTAGTTTCATATCATTAATTTCATAAGATTTTAAACATGTATTATTACCTTAAAACTGCATGATAAAGTATATATATATAAAACTACATAGTGAAAACTGCATTAAATGAAAACAGTTTAATAGTTGTAATATTTGCAATATTGTACATTGAAGTTAAAAGTGGTATATTACAATAGTTTTGAGGAAATAATTTTTCTAAATCATCTTGTAATGTTTATTTTTTATATTATATTAAATTAATTTTGATTCTTACATAATTTTTTTCAGTAGAATCCCAATAAACTCATATCTGAACCTCTGTCATACTTAATATTTTGATAAAATAAATGAGTGTATTTTTTGTTTTCAGTTGGTAAAGAATTTATTTGCAATTTATCATTGAGTTATTTAGTAATCATAAGAAATAAAACAATATATCTTAAGCATAATTTATTGCATTTTTTGAATGTTGTATTTATTTAAAAACAATTACCTAGTTGTTTGTTGTTCTTGGAAAGGAGTTCTGAATTTCTGTTTGTCTCAAAAAATAATTTTAAAATGGATTTATTACATATTCTTGTTATTTTTTTGACCTTTTTAGTTTCTTAATGGCTTTTAAAATAAAATTTAAAGATTGGAGTATTCAAGAGAAATGTGTAAAAACAAATTTTACTACTATTAATGATAATTTACCTAACATATTTTTTATTTTTACTAAATAATTGTATGCATTTAATTATTAATTTAATTAAATTCATATGCATGATATACTTCTAATAAATATATAGTTAGAATAAAAAGAAAAATATTTTTTTTTAATTTTGTTTTAGTAAATGTTGAATACAATTTTGTAATAGAATTTAAGGATTTTATGTATTTAATACTAAAACATAACTGAATACCTATTTAATTTTTAAATAAATATTTTATTTGTAATCAGTTTTGAATATAGCTTATTCTTCATTTATATTAAATATAAATATTGAATAATTTGTTAGTTTATCAAACTATTATTATTTATTATTCAACCATTACTTACAATCATTATTAAATTAATATACATAAAAACAGTTTTTACTAAAATTATTTATTTGAAATTACAAACTTGTTGAAAATATTATCACACTTCTTAACACTAAATTTGCAGAGTAAAAACTTTAACTACCCAGTTAGTTAAGAAAATACTTGCAAATTAAGTAAAAAAAAAAAAAATTTAGAATACAACCGAAACATAATTATTTATTAATACAATGTATTACCTATTTTTATTTGAATTATTTTTTCAGAATTTTTTAAGATTTATTCACTTTTTATATTGGTATATAAAGTATGCGTCAAGGAATGTGTTAGTTATAAACAATAATAATTTATATTTAATAATCTTTTAGTATTTAATATTAAGTACCCTAAATATACAAACACACTGAAAAAACTAACTAATTTGTCAAATGGTTATGACTTTCAAAATAATATATAAGTATATATTCAAATTCTTTAAAGTTGTACTTCAATTTACGTCAATTAACATAATTTCTTTATATGTCTTTTTTTATTTATTTATTTATTCTAAACATCTTTATTTTATGTATAAATATGTATTGGTAAGTCTTTGGGTATATCATTAAAAGTTGTTTTTGTATAAAAATAACTAATTTACAACTATTGTGTAATAATAATAATGTTAACATAGATTTATATTAGATAACCTTTTATTTAGAAAGTACTAAAATAATTTGATAATAAGTACAATGAAAATAGTATAAATCTAAATAAAATAATTGTGAAACTCATCTTATATTAAATGTATGTTGCTTATAATTATAGATTATATCAATAATAATATCTGTTAAAATCATTCAGTTTTATAAATATATCATTCTTACAAAATATCAATAAACATTATAAACAAATCTTAATCGAATACTATTAAAATGTATTATATTTTGTATTTCATAAAAATTTTTAATTTTTAATATTATAATCGAGTTGTTAACTAAAAAAATTCTCATGAAATATTAAAGGCAAGTAACAACATTATTACTATTAGTATTAATAATAAAAATGATAAAATATCCTGTTTATTCATAAAAGAAACTTGTTTTTTTATCTTATCACATTCCACTAAGAACATTTAAAACCATTAATATGTTTTTTTTTTATATTAGTATATATACCTATATTATCATAGTAGTTTCATTTAGTCAAAAAAATAAAGTATTTACCTTTATATTTATATTTTTATTTCTATTGCATATTAACTATTTATAATATTTTTCAGATTTACTATGTAAAATAATTTTATTATAATGTGCGGAGAGTGTGACGAAATACGTTGTTTACGTGACAGCTGCCCTGGTTTGGGTGGATGTCGACTATGTGGGAATGTTTCATCTGATATTTACCATGATCATAACAACTTTCCACGACCTTCAACCATAAAAAACTTTTCCAAAGTTTCATCTAAATTTTACCAAAAATCATGGTTGTTAACATCAAAATCTGTATGGAAGTCTGATTTTCTATGTATAGCACTATGGTGTGTTGCTATCCTTAGTATTAGTCAGGCATCAGCTGAAAACTACTCTACTCAGATTGCAAGTTCACCCTTAATACCTACACAACTAACAACAAATAATACAGTGCACCTATCAAAAGGGAGAAGTAAGTAATTATTACTTTTAACTAGTTCTGTGGTATTAACTTATGATAATTTTGTTTATTTTATTTTTGAAGTATGTCAAAGTAAAGACATAAGAAATAGAGCAGAACATTTGAAATCCCTCCATGGTTGTAGAGTTATTGAAGGTTTTCTACAAATAGTTTTAATTGACAATGCAAATGAAACAAGTTATGAGTCACTATCATTCCCTGAATTACGTGAAATTACTGGTTATTTGTTATTATATAGAGTTAATGGTTTAAAATCACTTGCTAAACTTTTTCCTAACCTGTCTGTAATTCGAGGACAAGATTTATTTATGTCATATGCCATTGCAATTTATGAAATGGTTCATTTACAAGAATTGGGCTTGTATAACTTAATGGATGTAACTAGAGGAGCAGTTTACATCACAAAGAATCCAATGCTTTGTTACACACAAACTATTGATTGGATACGAATAGCACCATCTGGAAAAGAATCACATGATATTTATGTAAACATAAACATTTAGCAGTTAAATATAAGCTTTACTTATGTAACATTAAATTAATCATAATTTTAATATATTAGGACAACCGTCCTGGAAATGCTTGTCCCGTATGTCCATGGACGAACGATCCAAGTTGTGCTGTATCTAATAATACTAATGAACCATTATGCTGGAATACTGAACATTGTCAAAGAAGTAAAACTTTATCATATTTTTCCATAGATAAATTTAGTTTATAGAAATAAATTGTTTTATTTAGTTTGTCCACCGGAATGTGGTACTCTTGGCTGTTCTGTAGATGGAGAGTGTTGTCATGAGCAGTGTCTTGGAGGATGTGATGGTACTAAGCATAACAATTGTTTTGCTTGTAAGTATTTAGAAGATGAAAATGATTGTGTCAAAGCATGTCCATCAAATACATTAATAGTAAGTAAAAAAAAATATTAATCAGTATAATAGAAAGTTAATTTTTAATAATTTTTTTTTCATTTTAAAGTATCAAAATAGGCGTTGTATATCGGAATTTGAGTGTTACCACATGCCTCGATCAAGAATTGAATTACAAAATGGATTACACTTACAATCATGGAAACCATTTAATAATATATCTTGTGTAATGGAATGCCCTCCTGGATTTGAAGAAGTCCCTACTGAAAATAGTTATGGAAAAGTGTTTAAATGTCAAAAATGTTCTGGTAAACTTAATTTTATAAAATAAAATCAATATACTAATTTAAAGGTCTTATTTAGGACCATGTCGTAAAGTTTGTATTGCTGCAAATGTTGAAAGTATACAGTCTGCACAAAAGTTAAAAGGATGTGTTATTATAAATGGATCATTAGAAATACAAATACGTGGTGGTAGTAAGTCAAGCTTATTTAACTAAAGAAATACTGTTAAATGAATAATTTAATATTTAGATTCATAATTAATAATAATTGTCTGATATTTTATATGGCTCAAAATTAAATTAGCACCTAAAATCTGGAATTTCCTCATCAAAATGACAAGTAGTTAATAACTAATAATTTTGACAATTTTATATAAAAACCATTCGTTATCACCAGGATGTAGACTTAAGTGCAAATCACTTTTTCTGATAAATACATACATATATATATATAAATATATATTTAAAAAAAAATTATATTACTATTAACTGTATGATATTCATCATAAATATGGGATAAAGATCATATAGGAATCATATTCACTATGAAAATACCTAAAGAAATATATGTAAGATTTAAAAACAATAAAATTAACTCTATTTAGATGATACATTATCTCTAAATTGTAAAATAAACTCAAAAATGGTAAAATACTAAAATATGCCAAAATATGAACGCAATATTTTTTATAGTTCCAAATGCACTAACCAGAAATAGCATTATCTTTCCATAGTTATAATCACACTGACTTATAAAATATAAAATTTAATTCACTATCACCATCTACCTATTACAACTTTAAACTTTTTTTAAAATGTTCAAATAATATTAATTTTCCAAGCCATTTATATCTTAATTTTCAAAATATTATCAATATTACTTATATTATAAAAATTATTATTAACTCTATTAAAATTGTACATACATAAATGCTTGTAATAGCATTTGATGCGCTGAAACATTATAATTTACATTACATTTTTAATAAACAAAAAAAAAAACATTTTTGAATTATCATAACATAATAATGAATGTAACAAGAGAGTTGAATGCTTAAAAAATAGGATTCTTGATCTAGAAACTCAAAAACCTGTTATAAATAATGAACCTAAAGACATAAATAGAAATTATCAAAGAGATTATAGAAATCCAAAAACGTTCACATAATATAATTATTCATGGTACGAGGAGTTCTTAAGTAAGGATATGAATGAATGTATTATATCAGACGCGAATTAGCAGATATTTCATTTATATATAAACTAATCAATAACGAAATAGATGCTCCATATTTATTAAATTGCGTCCCGTTCAACATTCCTGTTTATAATCACTGCTTCACCTCAATGTTTATCATCACACAGTACAATTATTTAAAATACTTGCAGATTCCAAGAGCCATGGCCCTGAGTAACAAACTTGCTAAAACAGATGTTGATTTATTCTTTTGTCCATTAAGCATGATCCATACAATTTGCTTAAATAATGCTATGTAATAACTGATATATTAGATTTCTTTGGTTTATATTTTTATTTTCGCTTAATTTTATATGTTTTACCTATAATGTTTAGTGTTAAACACATTATAATCTAAATACTTCTATTATTGGGCAACTGCCCATTTTATTCATATGAATAAATTATTATTATTATTATGAAAACATTTTTGTTTGTACCTTGAATACTATAAGATTAATTTTTATTATTTTATTTTGTTAAATGAGTACTTTTAAAAGTTACATGTAACTAACTAATCAATTGTAAATCTTGTCTAATATAAAAAAAGTTTTAAAGTACTATTAGTGATGTAAATTTATGTAGTTCATAAACAAAATAAATAAGTTATAATATATTTATGTTAATTATATGTTTGGTTTTATTAAATTATGCAGTTTATAAACTAAAATAGTCAAAATTTATTAGAAATTATTAACAAATATTGTTGTATGATATGATAAAAATAAAGTACTACATTTTCAAGTTTTAGAACACTAAATACTAACAACATTTTTTGAAACTTGCATTTGTATTGAAATGCAATTTAATAACTATTAAAAATATGTATATAAATTTAAGTAAAGATTTAGATGAATGGTTAGAAATAGTTTTAAATGTCAATAATAATTTTAGTAGATAGTATTAATCTGATAGTGCTTGTGGGAATACTTGTAATAATAAATATACATTAAAAAAATCTATATTTAATTATAATAGACTACTTTATTCTAAATTTAAAAATAATTTTTAAATGATACAACAAAAAAAATTACTATTTTTTAAAAGTATTAGGTAATTATTAAACCTCTTCCATATTTTCTGTTGAGTACCAAAATGAACAGTTTTGGTTTGAAATTTATATATATAGATTGAAAATTGAATGTCAACAATGTTTTATTACACTCGAGTTATTAAATATTATACTAATATTTTTATGTTTATTTTAGTGAACATTGTAAAAGAATTAGAAGAGAGCTTAAGTATGATAGAAGAAATTACAGGTTATTTGAAAGTAGTTCGATCGTTTCCATTGGTATCATTGAATTTTTTAAGAAAATTACATATTATTAGAGGAGAAACATTAGAAAGTTCAAAGTAAGTACTTGATAAAATTTATTAATTTAAATTGATTTATTATAATATGTATATTTGTTTAAATAAAAGGTATGCATTAGTGGTTTTGGATAATCAGAATTTAGTTGAATTATGGGATTGGAACACTCGAAATCCAGATGGTGAAATAAAAATTGAACGAGGACAAATATTTTTTCACTTCAATCCAAAGCTTTGTATATATAGAATAAAACAATTACAATTAAAATTAGGGGACAAATTTAAAAATGTTGATGATTTAGAAGTGGCACCAAATTCAAATGGCGATAAGATAGCATGTAAAAACTAATTTATTAAATTGATTTACTAATTTTTTTTTAATTATATTTATAATTTTCAGGTAAAGTTTCAAAACTTAATGTTTCAACAGAAGTTGTTACATCAAATTCTGTTGTTTTGAATTGGTCGCCTTTTTCTCATTATGACACTCGTACATTATTAGGATATGTAGTTTATTATTTAGAAGCTCCATTTAAAAATGTTTCTTTGTATGATGGTCGAGATGCTTGTGGTGGAGATGGGTAAATATAAAACAGATATATTAAGTTCAGGAAAGATTTTAAACTTTAAAAAAAATATACTAATATAATGAAATGTTTAGATGGAAAACTGATGATGTGGAATCAACGGAGACAACTACAGTTGATTTAGTTGCAATTTTAACAGGACTCAAGCCTTATACACAATATGCATATTATGTGAAAACTTATACAATGGCTTCAGAATCAAATGGAGCACAAAGTGATATAAATTATTTTTTTACAATGCCAGGAAGTAAGTATTATTCATTTAGTATTAGTATTTATAATTTATTTACATAAGTTTTAAACAATAAAATATATTGTTAATAGCGCCAAGTCCTCCACAGAATCTTCATGTATCTTCAAATACTGCTGACAGTATAACTATTGAATGGTTACCTCCAGCTGAGCCTAATGGTCAAATCTCTCAGTATATTATTAAATACACATCTATTAACATATCTGGGGAATCATTACTGAAAAGAGATTATTGTCAAAACAGTATGTTATTTTTCTTATTTTATATGAATATATAAAATATGTTTTATTGTAATCATTAATTTTTTAGGTCCAGATACAAAAGATTTATCTGAAAGTTATATAAGTGTTAAAGAACATATTAAATATGATAATGACAAGAAAGAAAATTGTAATTGTACAGCTCAACCAGAAAAAAAACAATCAAAAATTAAAGATGAACAACAAATTCAAACTATGATAGAATTTGAAAATAACTTGCAAAATATTTTATATGTAAAAACGTATGTTCAATAAAATTTTAATAATTAACTAAAATATGTTTTTACATTATTGAATTTTTAATTTTATACAGTATTAATGCTAAAAATGATAATGTTACAAAAAGAAAACGAGAAGTTACAAATTATGATCCATCAGCTGAATTTCCAAATAGTACAGATCCAAAAACTAAAATTTCACTTGATGTAGATAAAAATATGGAAAGTATGTTTATGAGTTAAATAATATTATTAATATTCACTTTTCTTATGCGATTATGTTGTTTTAGATGAAAATATGAAAATAGTTTATGTTGATAGTAACCAGTTATCTTATACGTTAAACGAAAATTTAACACACTACACTACTTATAATATTGAGTTATATGTATGTCGACAAAGAGTCAAAAATGAAAACACTGAATCAAATAAAATAATTAGTAATTGTAGTGTACAAAAAGCAATGACTACTGTTAAAACTAGTCCAAAAGGTATTGTATTCATTGAACAGTTTATTAACTAACCAAATAAATATTATGCTTAGTAATATTCTAAATTATTTCAGTTTAACTTAATATAATCGATTAGTTCTGAAAATAGTGAGTTGTGTAATCAGTAGTTATAGTTATATATTAGGGATACCATTAAACAGTCTAGAGTTTTAGTTAAATAATAAAAATGACATACTTGTTTAGTAAAATACTATTGTTTTAATAGGTATATTTATCAATTATTTATTACAAAATGTAATTCAAGTGGAATTCTAACTTATGAAATAAAATGAATAAATTAATATTAATATAAAATAGAGATGAGGATTTACATTTATGTTTAAATCATTCTTAATTCTTCATTGCCTAAACTAATTAATTTCTGAGTTATGTAATTTCTTCTTTTCATTTTAAAATTATATTAAAAAATAATAATAATAATATATCATATTATTTTTACTAAATTATTTATTCTAGAATAAATAAAAGTTAAATATTTGTTTAAATGTTGATAAGAGTTGTTCAGTTTTAGTTTTAATCGAGGCAATGAAACAATTTTTCTACAGTCCTACTAATTTGGTTTAAACTTATTTAATAGTTATATTATTAAAATAGATTATTAATTAATAAAACTTTTTTAATATAAAGTTATATTATTTAATAGTAAAAAATTTCAGTATTTGGTATTATACATGACATGTTAGAGCAACGTAACATAAACAGATAATAAATCTGTACCTAAATAATTATATTTAGTTTTTTAATTGGGTTTTTAATATATTAGCAAATAAAAACAATTGTTTTAAAAAGCTACCGAACATTATTATTTATAACTTATAGATCTATAATAGTTGGTTTTCATATTTATTTATTTTTTTTTGAACCATGAGGATGTGATTTTACTCTTTTATCTTTTCCCTCAAAATCTCTTAAATTAGGAAATTTAGAATTTAGTGAGCTTTTATTTTAATAATTCTTAATTATGTTTTAACTTTTTTTTTAGAATCTGCTGACAGAATTGATCCTTCAACTATTAAAGCTGATCGTACTAATACAACCAATCCTAATTCAATTAAAATAAGTTGGAAAGAACCTGAAGGTTCTAATGGGCCAATTGTTAGTTATCATTTGGAATACAAAAAAGTTGGAGATCATGTATGTTTAAAATATTTAATAATTAATTTTTTTTTTTTTTTTAATAAACTTTACTTTGAAATATTTAAATTATTTTAGCTTAATCTTAATCCACCAGTTGTTTGTATAACCACGCAACAGTATCAACAATCTGACTTTTCTCATACTTTATCTAATGTTGCACCTGGAAATTATAGTTTTCGTTTGCGTGCAACATCATTAGCTGGAAATGGAGAATACACCCCATATAATTATTTTGAAATTGAAGTAATTTGGCTTTGTTTTTTTTGTAAACTATAATTATTATAATATTTAATATACTTTATTTTTTTAGGAAGTACCTTCAATTACCACTGGACAATTAATGCTTATTATCTTAATGGTAATTGGAATTATATGTGCTGTAATTGTTTTAATATTTTTTGTTTTACATCGTTATTATAAAAAAAAATTGGCTGCTACAACATTATTTGTTACATGTAATCCAGATTATATTAGTTGTGGTAAGTTCTAATTAACATTTAATGATTATGTTTGTAATATTTGATTTACTAATATGTGTTTAATAGAGTATCAAGCTGATGAATGGGAAATTCCTCGAGATGATGTTGAAGTCTTAGAACCATTAGGTCGCGGTTCTTTTGGTATGGTATACCGTGGTAATTGGAAGAAAAAGGATAATGAAATAATACCGTGTGCTATCAAAACTGTAACTGAAAATAACAACATAACAGTTCGACATGATTTTCTCTCTGAAGCTAATGTTATGAAGTAAGTTTGAATAAGTAAAAACTAAAAATTAATATTTATATAAATTGTACATAATATAATAATTTAATTTTTAATTATAATCAAATTTTATCTTTTAATAGGGAATTTTGTACAACTCATGTTGTTCGTCTATATGGAGTTGTATCGCAAGGTCAACCAGCATATGTTTTAATGGAGTTAATGACCCAGGGGGACCTTAAAACATACTTACTCAAACATCGTCCTGAAATGGCGACCGACCCTTCTCTTAAGCCTCCAACATTAAAAGTACGACTTTTTTGGTTTATTAATTTCATTAATGTATACAATGTTTATTGTTTTTATGGTTATTATTTTTTTATAGGATACTTTACGTATGGCAATTGAGATTGCTGATGGAATGTCATATCTTTCATTCAAAAAATATGTTCATAGAGATTTAGCAGCTAGAAATTGTATGGTTAGTGAACACAATATAGTTAAAGTTGGAGATTTTGGTCTTACTAGAGATATCTATCAAACAGATTATTATAGAAAAGGTAAATATTTATATTAACTTTAGTTTTTAATTTGAATATAATGAAAACGAGTGTTTACTTAATTTTAGATTCTGAAGGTATGATGCCAATTCGATGGATGGCTCCAGAAAGTCTTAAATCTGGTCTTTTCACTTGTTTTTCCGATGTTTGGAGTTATGGTGTTGTATTATGGGAAATGGTAACACTAGCAGCCCAACCTTATAGGGTAAATATATTTCAGAATAACATTTTTTTTTCTATAAATTGTTATGCATGTATATTTTTCTAGGGTGAGGTAGACAAAAATGTCATATCATATGTCAGTAGTGGAGGTATTATGGAAAAACCAGATAATTGTCCAGATATACTTTATGATTGTATGAAACTTTGCTGGCGTTTTAAAGCTTCTGAGCGACCTACGTTTGCTGAAATAGTGAAAATGTTTTTGGCATGTGCTCGCCCAGATTTTGCAAAGATGTCATTCTATCATAATGAATTACAGTCTGAAACACAACGACTTGATGCGTCTGAAAATGGTATCACAGAAACCGAGTCTTCCGAGAGAGAACGTAAACAAATTGAACGAGATCAGATTACAGCAGTATTAGAAAATCAAGCACATTTTTGGGGAGGATCATCATTGCCTGTTGAACGGTTAGCCCCAAAAGCAAATCTGGAAGAAGATGATGATGATGATGAAGATTCAGATAATGAGTTGCAACAATCACACATAGAAAACTTTGTGTGCAAACGACCCCCTAATGGATATATGTCCATACATAATGGTAATGGTATAAATACCACTATATGCTGACCGTTATTTTATTATTATTATTATTTTTTTTTTCTTATAGAATTAATTTTTTAGATCAAACTTTTTTCTCTTTTATAAGGTATATTTTGTTTTTGTATTTATATAGTTCCTAATTGTTGTGTCAAATATGCAGAGATGGGTCATTTTATGTATATTGAAATTAATTTTACATATAAATCAGACAATTTATATTTATATATTCTATATATATATATATATGATATAATACACTCACACATTAGTCACACCAATTATATTAATATGTGTGCTTTTTTTATGTTTAAATTTTCTAATAAACCTTTTTTTTTTTTTAAAAAAATTATTTTGTTCTTAACTAATATAATAACTTGCTATAGTTGGAAATGACATTTATTTAGTTACTATATATCCAATTTTTTTATTTATTTTTTATTAATTTCTATGAAAAATCAAATTTTTTAAAAATTTTACTCATAACCTTAGTATTCAAATAAAAATTTAAAAAAAAAACAATTAAATTTTAATTAAAGAATCAACTATATCTGATTTTTAAAGTGATAATAAATTGTTAATAATCAGGTTATATTTTACAATAAATTGCTGAAAAAGGTCGAAATAACAGGCCATCTTAAAGTTAAGATATGATTATTCAATAGTTATTAATGTAGTTTATATTTTATTTATTTACACTATTATTTTTTTTTCTTAAATATTACAGTATAAAATTATATGCTTATGTTTGTTTATATAATATCACTCATCTCTGCAATATTTATTGAACATTGTTTTTTGAACTTCCTGTGAGTTGCCCATCAAATGGGTAAAAATCAGATTGAACTTGCTCAATGCCAAAGCCAGTGTATTTTTTTTCAAATATAGGTTTAGTTCCTTTTTCCTTTTCTTTCCACAGGTGTGCAATTTAATAGTCTATAGTTTTTTTTATTATTGTATAAAACTTATTCCTATAAGACTGTCTTTTATAAATAGAACTACTTATGTAGTTTCCATAGTACACAAATAGTAAAGCTTAACCTTTGTTACCTGAAGTTTAGATTTAAGTTTATGTGTATGTATATATTTATATGTATATAATTTTAAGACATGATTCTGGTTCAGTTCCATTATGAAAAAAAGAAGAAAAATAACTGACGCATAGATAATTTGGTTTTATGTATTCTTTAACTTAGTTAAAAGTGTTTTTTTTTTTTTTTGTACTTTTATTATTTTTAAAAAAAGTGGTGTAAATATGTTTTAATTTGATTGTAGATAAATTGTGTAAACTAACATTATTTTTTTTTTGTAAACTATATTATGACAATTAGCAATTGAGAGTCGTGACCAAATATTTTGTCATAAGTGCCGTAATAAATGTATAATTATAATTGTTCCTAATTACAACTTGTAGATTCTAAACAAATACACAAGTCTAGAAGATTGTAATAATATTCTTATTAAAAAATTAAAAATTATAAGTTATTACATTTAAGTTAGGGAGTTCTGTACCGTTATTAAGTTTTCGCGATTGGTAAGTAATATTTTAAGCTAGTACAGTTTCTTAAATGCTATGCATAAAAATAAAATTTTTAGAGAGAGCTTAGTAGGCCCTTACAAAAGGATAATGATTGAATGATATATATAAAAAAAAAATTATAAATAGTAACACAAACAGTTCATACATATAACTAGAGCCTGGATTTATAGGCATTTAAAAAGTATCAAATATGATGCAAATATGCAAAGAAAAATTGCCTAAATATGCAATTATATGCATTATGTTGCACTTTAAAAAATGTGTTTTTTTAAAAAAAAAATCACACTTTTATACCAAATAAAATTCTAAATATTTTATCAAAAACAAAAAAAAAATGATAATATCCACTGCTTTATATTTCAAATCATTTATATCAATTTAAAACTTTTAGGAAACTTAAAAATGAGAATACAAATAAAAAAAAACTAAAAATAAATTAAAGTTACCTACTCTCAAACAACGAAAATTAAACTTAAAAAAAAAAATACAAACAATTTTAATTTATTAAAAACCCATCAAATGTGCATACTATTTGCATTTATAAACAAATATGCTCTAACCCTCAAAATATGCAAAATATTCCATATAAAATTTGGTATTTAAATTCGGTGTGATATGAATCGTGGACATTTCAAATATCCATAGACGTGCATACACTTAGTACAAACATGCAAATGTATATAAATCCGGGTGCTACATATAACTATTATAGTTATGCACGGCTATAATAGTCAAAGTGGCATATTTTTAAATTTTTTGTGGAGGGAGTTTAACATTATTCTAAAAATTTAGTTATTTTATAATATTATAAAAAATACATAGGTATATGGTATGAATTAATAACTATATTATTAAAATTAAAATAAAAAATTTAATTATTTTGAAACAATATAAAAAATAATGAAGAGTTACTTATAACAAAAAAGTTAAAGCTCTTTTTTTTCCCAGTTCATCAATAATTTTTTCAGTTCTTAACAAGTATTTTTCATTTATTGATAACGGCATTAAACCGTAACTTTTTTTTTTTATTGGGGGTCGAGACGTTTATTTTTATTTGTCATGTAATATTTAGCCTGTTAGATAACCCTTGTAGTTCTTGATTTTTTCTTCTCTCATATATTTACAACTCTGCGTTTTATTTTAGACCGTATATGTTTTTCAAGACCTTCCTTTCGAATGTTATTGGGCGTTTACTATCGTTTACTATCATGGTGAATGACCATGATACGCTCGCGTAAGTGACTATAGTTCATGTTACAATCAGTGGCGCACACCTCATGGATGATGAGGGTCATTCGACCCCCCAAAAAAAATTGATTGGTTAAAAATATTTGCAATTTACTAAATGTTATTTCAATTTCGAACACGTGAAACCTGGTTGGATCTAAGTTCATGCCTTGAGTGCTAAGTTTCACTACCTCGAGCTCTAAAATTACCTTTATTGGAGTTGCTTTAGGTAATGGGTGGGTGATCGGTATTAATATAATATGTTTAACCCATGTCGGTAAGAACGAGTGTGCGCCACTGAGTACAATAGCAGAGGTGGTCAAATTGTTTTGCCATGGGGGGAGGATATATCTGATTTTTTTAACAAACATTATTTATAACAATTTCTACTTTTAAACATAAAATTAATTAATAGTTTACATTTTAATTATATTATTAAATCTATTTCTATTTTTTTTTTTTTTGCCAATTCGTCCAGTACTTCGTCTGCGGTTATATTGACAACTCCACGATGAACAGCCACTATGCAGGCACGTAGCTAAGGGACGGCCAGGTAGGGCCGCATTTAAGGGGGTACTGGCTACAACTGCCCTGGCCGCCAGTTTTTTGGGAGCATCAAAATTTTGTGGTCGGAAATTTGCTCACTTGTGAATTAATGAACTTTTGAAATTATTTTTTTTTTTTTTGTTTTCAATAACAGTATCATGAATTAATGTTAATGTATTTATAGCAATATAGCTATTAGCATTGATTTTATAATATAATATAATATATTATAAAATCAATGCTATCAGCGATCCAGAATATTATTAATATACCTGATATTAGTTCCCAAATTTGTTATGATAATGTCAATAAACATAAATTATTTATAATAAAATACGGCGTATTATGTTATCGCGTGCGGCGTGGGGTTGCATGCCTACTACACAAAAGTAGCATTGATTTTAGAATATCTATAACGACCAACTTTCAACCGCCTTAAGTAGGTATTAAAGTAAAATTGATAAAATTGTTTTGACTTTATTATTTTAAGCAACTGTTTAAAATACAATATTACATAATTATACGTATTAAATTATGAGAATATGCAAAATTATTTCCCCAACATAATTGCGACGTATGTTCAAAGTTTACATATATGACGCGCCATCTTATCTCTTTTTTTCTTTTTTTATCAAATATATTCGGTTATGTACTCGTATTTGTAGAACATAAAAATTTAAAAATTTAAAAATATTTAAAATATTTCATTTTTATAAAATGTTAAAACTAAAAATATATAGAAAACTTAAATATATTTTATATTACAATAATATGCGATAAACTAATAACTAATAATGGACTAACTCAGTGAAAAAGTTTTTTTTTTAAGTATTAGTAAATGTAGTATATATTGTATATCTCATTTATTGTTAGATAATATTATAGTGATATTGTGTGATGAATTATTTTGTTGTTCATCTTTCAATGTCCATACATTTTCTTCATTAAAGTACCTACAATATATCTAAGTAGACATAAAATACTATTAAATTTGATAACACATAATCTGAAAACAAAAATTGTCCTAATGCATAAAAAGTACGTTATAATACCAGATGACATAAAATTATCAGGTTCAATATTTATATCACGAATAAAAGTTTAAAAAAAAATTCTACATAAAAATAAATTGAGAGGGCTTCGCTGCAGTGCGAATAAACTTAATGTAACACACTGAACCTAATATGCAATACACAACTAAGCTGTGCGATACATATTCATAAGATATCATGAATTTGTTTCCTTGGCAAATTGTATCCTTTTCACCGTATACTTAATAAAATATTGTATTGAATATGGATTTTTCCGTTATTTATACTAATCGCGTGCGGGATAAATCATAGAAGTTGTCTAAAAAGAAAAATATAAGAAAATATTAAGAATAAAATTGTTTATTAAAAAAACTATCATAATTGGCTAAATAAAAAAAAGTGAAACTATGAATACGTGTTTATTTGCCTATAGAGGCTGGTTATTGATATTTTAAATTCATTATACCAGTGTCTTCCGTGAAATATATTCTATTGTAATACAAGTAGTATTCTTTGTTCTCATTGTTTAAACGTTAAATCCTATCTTAACGGCAACATATATCAGGACAACGTACGGTTTGTTTCCTCACGAAGAAAAGCCAGAAAATATTGAAAAATATTCGTAAAAGCTTTGGGATTTACAAGAAGTATACTATAATGGACAGAGTTAAGGCAGAATGTTACCAGAACAACTTAAGACGCACAGGCCCATCAGTTCGATCCACTAATCGAAAGTTTAATGACGACCAGCATTTAGGGTCGTCAGAAAACCACCATTCGAGCGGAGGGTAAATATTTGATAAATAATTACATACATGATCGATTGACTGTGAAACAATAGGTTTGTCATAATAATGACGACTTTTGTTTAGAAACAACAAAGCACGGTCAAAACGACCTATTGGCAGACAATCCCAGCCCGGTAGTGGTGATACTACCAGACCATTGCCTTGTCCGCAGTCCTTGTGGCGTGGCGAGCCGAACAGAGTCCTAATCGTTTACGGATTGGAAAGAATGAACGTCAATTGCGATAAGGTTTTTAATTTGTTTTGTATTTACGGAAATGTTACAGCAGTGAAGATTTTGAACGGAAACCAAGTACTCGTCGAACTGCAGGACGTCGAGGCTGCTAAGAGATGTGTGTCCAAGTTGAACTTGATTCGGTTGGATAAAACTACAAATCTAAAAGTCAAGTGAGTGTCGTAAATTCCTACTGGGATTTCTTTACGTCGGGTTATGATTGAATGGCGGGGTAAGGGTAGGTTTCTCTTGATCCCCAATAAGATTATGGATTACGATAAACATTTGAGAAAGTGCGTATTACGCGAGTATATTGCAAGAACCATAATCATCCCGAATCACCTCAAACAAAAGGTGGCGTAAATATGCTTATAAACAAAAATCATAGCATATAGGAAAATCATAAAATCATAGAACATCGCATCATGTCTGCCGTCGCTGTTTTAGGTATTCGAAACATTCCTATATTAATAATCATGGAACTTCGAGAACCTTATCAGACGGTACGCCAGCTAAGAAAATTTACCTGAAAAGCAAGTTCAACCGATTTGTCGAAAAAGAGATGAAATACGCAGATCAACGACGTATCGTGACCCCGTCAAAAGTAAGTGAAAACGCTCGCGTATTAAAACGTGTTTACATTGACGTACGGACAACGAGTTTACGTAATCCAATAGTTGAACGACTGACAATTAATTATCTTCCCAATAGATTTTACATTTTTATAATGCACCGTTGGATATTTGCGCTAAAAAGATGCATAAAGTGGTGACGGACGCCCTTGGTTCCATGGACGCAATAAGATCCATAACCATTTGTGAGTCATTCGTTGCCAATGAATTCGTTTATAATTGAGGTCCTAATTATATTGATTTTTTATTTTAGTGCCTAAGAAACGTCCAGATGCCAAATGTTCAACTGGCCTGATTGAAATGAAAAGCAACGAATTGGCGGTAAAAACGATTCTCTTGTTGAATCACATGCCATTTGAATCGTCAAGTATGTTTTATTTATGCTATCATTTAAGTTATAGTAATATTTTTACTAATAGGACCGAATTTTAAGTATTATAATAATTATATTCCCCTATCCCTGTGGTTACTGGAACCCAGGACAGCTTTTGAGTTCAGCGCATGATCAATATGACTCGCGTGTGTGTACATAAATTATCTTCTACTTATAGAGTCCAGATTCCCATTTTTGATGAAACTGAGTTTCTCGAAATGGTCCGATATCCGGCAGCAGTCAACGGGCTCGTCCAAACTGCTACTGAGCATTGCGCCCTGCATTCGGAGGTCGTTTCATAATTCCGAACATGCGTCGCCCACGGTGGAGTTGGCGGTCGCGCGTACAACCCAGCAGACAACCAGTCCCGGTGGAATCTCGTGGACTTTGTGGGAAATAATAGATGTTGTGACGGAGGCCATAGACCGCGGCACAGGAAATCTCGTACGACCAACGGAAACGTTTCAGGACCAGTTGCGCGTGACACACTGCGATAACCCCGCAACATAGTTGTAAACTTTGCTTTCTGTTGGAAGATTTTACATTCGCCTCGTTCGGGCTTTATTTAAATAATATTCCATTAAGAATACTCCATCAACTCCGTATAAAAAAAAAAAAAATGAAAAAAAAATTGCTATTAAACGTGTGATATAAGGTGGAATCTAAGTAAATGGTCTAACGTTTAAAATGTATCTATCAGTTAATTAATTCAAATTTTATAAAAATTGGTTATTTATATTAATTTATAATATGAACCATTTTAACTAAAACTAATCCAAATTTAGTTTATTTGACCGGAAACAATTTTATTTATTTTAATGGGTCCTGCATTATCTATTACAAAAACTTTTCTAGACATTTCTTAGATTGAATCTTCCAGCCAAGTAAACTAAATTTGGATCAATTTTAATTAAAATAATTAATATTCATATTATAAATTAATAAAAAAAATCAATTTTATTAAATTTGAATTAATGACTGACATATACATTTTACACGTTAAACTATTTACTTAGATTCCACTTTTTATCAAACATTTTATAGCATTTTTATTTTTTTTTTATTTTTTATTTAGCGTTTTTTTACACGGAGATGTCGGAGTGTTTTTGTTGGGATATCATTATTTTTTATAAATTATCATATTTAATAATATACTAGTACATTATTATACATAATATTTTTTATTTTTTTTCCATTATTATTATGCAAACGTCTTTAACACGACGAGGTCACCGTTCAAACTGTTCAGATGTATCGTTGCATCTTGCCCATTTATTTTGATGTTTTATTATTGATGTATAATGGGCTTCAGTCATAGGTTGACCATAATGGCAAATGATCGAACTTAAAGTATAACATTTACTATCAACCGTAATATATGTTATGGTGGCTAATGCATTTATATGAAGATTTGTAATTTTTGTAATCACACACTCCAAAGTTGAATTTGAAAGTACAAATATTCATGAGTATTGAGTATGTTTGTTGTCTGTGTATGGTTTGAAGTAGTATTAGAAGCACTACAAGTTATATTTTCTATTGTAACTTCTTTAGACAGGTCATTCAACATGGAATGCATTGTGACAATTTTTGTATGTTTTCGGTACATTAAGTTGAATTATAAAATTATTTGAAATATATACTCTACTCTTTTTACGAGTACACTAATAAACTCAGAAGCATCTTGCTGTTCTATGTTAACGTAAGGATGACCAATCTGATTTCTTATACTAGATACACTTAGTTGACATACTTGTGATGTATATAAGTATGCAAGTTTTTTTAATACATTGTCATACATTTGTTTTAGTATGTGAGTACAATTGAAAATTACTTGCAAAGATGCATTTGCATAACAATAAACCGCATCCAAATTTAAAAACCCTAAAATATTTAAATTGGTAATAGGTGTTGAAATATTTGAATGTTATGGACTTGAACATTTGATACTTTTTTTCATATTATATCTTTTACGCGTATACATATGTTTGATCACAAGAAAATATAGAGTTAGCAACGTCTACAATAAAATTTTCCAAAGACATAATTTGACTTTTGTGAATAGTAATTCCATAAGCGACAGTTATGGGAAATTGTTTTCTGAATACGAATGATCCGTGAAAAAGTTCAAATTTGTTGTAACAGGTTTAAGATGATACATTTTTCGTTAAAGATCACTTGAATTTGTTGAAGCTTGCCATCAATTCCAATAATTACATTTTTAACTGTTCCTATAATTTCGTTAATCAAACCACTTGATACATCAATATTTCTTTGTAACATAATTTTACAGTTTAACTTTACATTTAAATATTTTTAAAGACCAACTGTCCGCGAACTATCATCATCAAGTTTCGACAGATTTATCATAGCTTTGTTTTAGTTGATGCTTTACAATCAACAGAATCAATTGATTCCAAACGAATGTTACCTGAAGATAATAAAGATAATATTACATTATTTAAAAATGAGCAATGTTTTCTGGTAGAAAGTAGAAATAGTGTAGAATCTGGTAGCTTCATTTTAGTTACGTACAATTGTCTTATTATATCTGCAGGATTTTTTTTTTTGATTTTAAAACTAATTTTTTGTTTATTCATAGTTTGAATGTCAGATCGTGTAACTGTGTTAATTCTAATTCTATCCAGTATATTAGCATATTCAGGATCACTCTATTTTTTTCTCATGTTTTTGGTTCATTCATTGTAAATAAACAACTTTTCCCACAAATTTATAGCATCTAATGCATGTAGATACTTATCACTATTTTTTGCATTTGATGGTAGAAATGACGATTATTCACTCACTGGTGGTAGTTGAAGAAGATCTCCGAAAATTAAGGTATTGATTCTCCCAAACCAACCATCATCACTGTTACCAGTATCATAAATTTCACGTAGTCCTAAATGTATATAAATCAATTTCTCATAAGATACCATACTTATCTCGTCAATTATGACTAAAATTACATTTTTCATTTTTTCACAAATTAATTTAAGAGAATCATTTGATAAGGGTCTGTATGGTGGGGTGTGTCTATATTCTACCAGTAACTGCAAAAACGGCGAATACTTTGTATATTATATGCAGCTATTCCCGTTGGATCTGTTATAGCTACATTTCGATTTAATTGGTTTGTTACATATGCCTTAATAGTTTTAATCAAATATGATTTCCTTGTACCCCATACACCGGAAACAAAGTGACATATTGGTGATCTATTTTCACTTGCTATTTCACCCCTAACAAAATCAAATACTTATTTTTGATCAAAGTTTAAGTTTTCTATTAAAGTTTCTACATTTTCTTCATTTTTTTTGCATTATTTGCATTACTTTGTAGCACTTCCATAGCTTCTTCTAATTAATTAATTTGAAACTTATCGTTTGTTTCGTTTGTAGTATGTGATATTTGGTTGTTTTGCAATATTCCAATAATCCTATTAATATCATCTTTAGATGTGATAAGATATTACAGATGATTATGATAATCTATTACTGATTTTACTATATTTATACATATCATAAATATCTCAAAATATGTGTCGCTTACCCCGATTAATTTTCTTTTTTCACTCCATGGTTCAAATAACATTAATAAAGAACGGAAGTACTTTTCTGGTTCTAATTTTCAGTTATAAATAGGATGTTTAATTAAATGTGACCATGGTCGTTTTTGATCAACCGATAACCGGGATACTCATAACATTGAAGTTTTGTCAAACGTGGTTTTTTTTTTACAATATCGTATTTACTAGCAAAATCGAATAGATTAGTATTTTCCATTTCAGTGGGTGCGTTAGGGTAATGAATATCAATCATCGAAGGGTTGTCCAGATCAGTAGACTGGTTATAAAAATTTTCTATTTCTGTTTTTGATTTCAGTTTTCTGTTCCTCATTATTTTTACATCCAGCCATTTGATAAAATTATAAATATCGCTAATTATGACAATATTAGTAAAAAACCATATTAATCCCTTAATGCAACAGAGTGTACACATTTTTTGCTATCCCATCTTTCGCCAACACAAATAAACTGGATGGTTCTAGAGCACGCCACGTATAATTGTCCGTGTGAAAAACATGATATGCTCAAATCTAAGCCACAGACAGACATCGTTTGGACTTGAAACTTATTGATAGTCATTGCAAATGTCAATTTAATTGGAAATTGAAGGCGTTTAAATTGTATAGGCGCATAGGCGTGTCTAGACCTCTATGGCTGAGGAGGCCAGTTATAAAATGTAAATTTTTTTACTTACTACAGCGATCTATAATCTATATATATATATATATTTGTAACTTATTTTTTTTGTATGAAAATTATATAGCACCTGGAATTTTTTCACCCCATCAAATTAAAGATTTTTTGTATTAAAAACCTATAATAGTCATATGCGTCAATTGCAATGATAATTATTTATAATATTTACTGATTTACAATTTGTAACAATAAATTACAATTTGTAATTTTTAACCTACCTATGTTGGTAATGTTATCTGTTATCAATGTCCATTCTTATTATATTCTGTATGTGGTATTTCTCATCTCTATCGTTCGCGCCACAATTTAAGATACCTTAAACCGTGGTTCACGCTGACTCGTATATGGAAACCTTATCACCGTCAACAATGCTATCACTTATCGTTGCACCCCGATATGCGTTATCCGCCGGCTCAGACGAGTGTCACGTATCTGACGTTATGTCTATTATCACTGAAATATTCATATTTAGTCTGTGTTATTATTATGATTAATGAAATCGGGTTGACACGCACATAAATTCGTATTTTACGTCGATGTTGTTATTATAGTAATTACATTATGCGATCCGCGATCGATCGTCGTTGTGCTGTTATGAACAAACGGACGTCAATGATTACGTCGTATTGACCACCGCCAACTACCGCCGTCCGACGTGCGACATAATCGATGTCGTTGTCAGTACTTGACGCCCGTGATTCGAGCATCTTCATGCTTTGTTGTCCGTCATATGCTAGGTCGTCTTTTTATTCGCGCTCCCGTCATGTCGCACGATGTACCCCGGTACGGTTGGAAAGTTGACTTCGACCATAAATTTCCCGATCTCAGAACGCCCACGTATGTGCCGAGGTTCAAGCAAATCCTGCAATTATTACCACTGATTTTTAGGTAAAATTACATTACCTTAATAGTTAGTTAATTATGTTGATTGATAGTAACTTTTAGGTATCTGGCTCAGGTGCTCTGAACGAGAATACTGAATAGTTACAAGGTTTTAAATACATTGAGTATGTTAGTTTTGGTCAACAGAATTAACTATTTAAACAATTTGAAATTTAAATTTTTTTTTAAATAATTTTCCTTAGGAAAATATTTTCTTGATTTTAGAATTTGAGTTTTAAAGGAAACAATAAATTAACTTTAATATACCTAAATAGATATAATATTAAAATATTTCTGCTACTAATTTCGTAGAATATGAAAAACTAATAGGTAATAGAACATAATTTACGGTGTCCAGTGCCAAGTTATGGATAATGTTGTGGTAAATAGTTGATGCAATGTAAACTTGCCTTAAACTGTATATTTCTTTCAGTGGCGTCATTGGAGGGGGGGCAGACTATGGCAAATGCCTCACTCTAAGAAATTTTTAAAGTCAGCAATTCTTTGTCCAATGATCAAATGCTAAAATCAGTAAATAGTACATTTTTATTTACTATATTGTATTCAGAACTTAGATAATATTGTCTTTTAAATACACGTTCATGGTTTATTAAAAGTTGGGAAATAATGGCTTCCCCCCAGTTTATAACAATCGTTATTATGCAAACCTTATAAACTTTAATTTTGGTATATTATATATTTCTATATATGTGATCTTTTTAAAACAGTTTTCGTAATTTTAATACCATAAAAATTAAGCTCATAATCTATAAAAAACGGTTAAAATCGTTCCTATTTACCACAAACTACGGTACAATATATTTGAGATACAATTTCATGTTTTTATAAATAAATTCTGTAAAGAGTTAAATATACAAATTATAAAACTATAATTATTTATTTAATCTAATTAAATTAATTAGATTTAATCTAATACAGAATTTATTTATAAAAACATAAAATTGTATCTCAAATATATTGTAAAAAATTATGGTTACCTATATATTTAAATATTTAATATTCATGGACCATAGACTATCAATAAAATATTTTTTTGGAACAAAACATGTAAGGATTAGTAATGAATAATGTCACATGATGATAACTTATAGCCTATTATATAGGATAAGTAAATTAATTAATGTTTTACTATCTTTAATATTATTTAATTGGGTAAAATTTTTATCATCATGACATTATTCATTACTAATCCTTACATGTTTTGTTCCGAAGAAATATTTTATTGATAGTTTATGGTCCATGAATATTAAATATTTAAATATATAGGTAACCATAATTTTTTAAATATTATGAACTCTGGAAATTTAATCAGTTGCTCCACCCTTTCAAAAGTTGAAATGACGCCCCTAATTTCTTTGGTGTCATGCACTTCCATCTCAAATGTTATCACTGTATGTTCAAATTTAGGTTTGTAACTAAAAGAAATATTTTGAGTGTTAAAACATCTTCTTTTCCCTTGTTAAGCCAAAAATGTATTATATACTAAATACTTTGGATTTCTACAAAAGTAAAAAAATATGTAACTTATTCTATTTATTATTTGTAAAGCTTATTTATGTTTATATGATGAAAATTTATATATCTACTAAATTGATTTTTACAAGTAAATAATAAACTGATTATTTCTGTACCCGGAGGTAAGGAGACCATGTCCATTTTTTAAGAAATTTAGTTAGCTTTATGTCCTTGTACATTTTGTTGTCAATATAATGGTATAAGGCACTATGTCCAGTTTTCAAAAGTAATGGAAATAAGGAGCAAAAAGCAATTTCAAATAATAACAAAAAAGAAAAACAAATTTTTAAATGAAAATAATTGAAAATTTGACTTCCTGTAAAATTATTATTTCATGGCATGGTTTGCTTTATCTCCAGGGTACAGATATATAAAACTGTTCTATATGCATGGAATGGTTTTTATACATAATAGTGTATATTTTTATTGTATATGATTAAGTATAATGTATAAAAATAAAATAAATGTAAGATCTATATGTATAATTTATATTATAAAAAATACATTATATACTCTAAAAAGTGTATGTTTTTTTAAAGTCATCAAGGTAATTATTGATAAATATTGGTGTTGATAATTTACAAATCTATTGTGTCATCGATTTATTGATTAAAAATTATAATTTTTAATTTTTTCTTATTCATTATTGATATAGCATATTAGTTGGTAAAAAAAATTATTTCTTATACTAACATACATACTCACTGGTTATAAAGTAAATTATAACATTAATTTCTTTTGTGATTTTTATCAATAATTAGTGTATTTTTTTTTAGATAACCTAACTGTATTAAATATCCATAAGATTTATAAAATGTATTCTATAATCAATGATAATAGTTATGAATCATAACTTATGATATTAGTTAACTTACCTTGTGGTGTATTTTGAAGAAGGGCTGGAAATCCTTCTCCCCTCAGAACTTATTTTTTTTTCTATAAGTATTTCAGTAATATAAATCTTGTTTTTATGAAATTTTTAAATTCTTAAAAATATGATTGACATAGTTATTTTTCTTAAATCTATTCTTCATGACTGAAATAAGTGATAACCAAATATGTGTAAAAATTTTTCGAGTAATTTAATATTTAGGTACCCCTTCCCTGGGGATATAGATTACATACAAAAATTATATATGGTTATTACAATAATAAAAATACTATAGTAGGTACTACATATTATTTGATAATTATTGAAAATTAATAGTAGTAAATTTATATAAATCATTTATTTATTATAAAGTTTTACGTGAAAAATTCTTAGTATTTTAAAATTTCTGACATCTGTACTCTTAATAATTTTAGTTTTTAATATTATTCTAAAGACTATACTATGATATAGAGCCCGATATAGGGTTTTTATATAATTTACATAGTTACATAAAATCTTATTTTTAAAAAACAGTTGTGAAAAATATTCAGCTTAAAAATTATAACATATTTGTATAACATGAAATATATAATATTAAAAATATACTTCTTGTATGACATTATGAATAACTTAATGGCAATATATTTTAGTTATTAAGTTATTCATACTGATTGATAAATATTAATATTTATATGTAGGTATAATGCAAAATTAATTTCAAATTTCAACTTAGGATTAGAATAATGAATAATATAATAATATAATAATGCTAGTATATCTAATATGAAAACAAAAATAGTAATACTTATATTCTCTATTAAATTTTACTTACCTATTTAATATTTTTATTTTATTTTGTGTGTGTATAAATAAATTAGTTATTTTAAACCAATTTAACCTACTTGATTTATTGTTTTTATTTAAGTAAATATTGATGCTTATTAATTATTATTAATTAAAGGAACATATCTAGTTTACATAAGTAGTCAAATAAAATTGTTAACAGTTTTAATTAAAATGTTTTTTTTGTTGTATATGATTATTTTTTATTGAGATTTTATTATACAAAGAAAATATTATCTACTTAAATTAAATGATATTACAATAAGTAAATTATTTTGCTACACAATAATTAACCAACTAAAAATGGTTGTTGCATATACAATAAAATAATCAAATGTATAACAAATATGCTTTTGTTATTCTTTAATTAGAAATGTATGATAATTTGAATAGAGTCAAAGCTATAAAGATTATTATTACAATAATTAATTAATTTTTTACCACTAATAGTGATTAATCGAAATATTTTTAACTTAATTTATAAATGAAGGAAATATTATTAAGGATTTATTACATATTTTAATTTTTTTTTTTTAGGTATATATTTTATATGCTCTATTGTTTTATAAAAGGCCAGAAGCCAATAATGGATTTTTTTTTTCCAATCAAATCGAAACACATGTATGGTAAGAATTATTTAAAAAATGTTTATATTTTTGTTGTAGTTATTGATGTAATTTATAAAACCAAATTAACTAATTTTAGTTAAACTTTAATAAAATAAATGTTTTAATTTTTGTTGTATTTTCAGGTGTACCTGTGGGTGGTATTGGAGGTGGAACAATAGGCCGTGGCTTTAAAGGAGAGTTTTGCCGTTATCAAGTTATTCCTGGCATGTATGAGTATGAAACCATTCAAGCAAATCAATTCATTGTTAATATCCAAGACATCAACAATACTACTGTGTATAATAATGTTCTGTCATGTTTGAAGTAAGCAATTTCATTAACAGTTTTTATATAATTTTGTCACTTATGAATTTATATTAATTTCAGATGCAATAATAAAACATTGTATAATTGGAAATGGGATTTTCCAGCAAACCAAGCCAAGTACACGGGTCTCTATCCAAGGTCATGGTCTGAATATTTTATTCCAGAACATGACATTAAACTAATTTGTAAACAAATTTCACCCGTTATTCCAAATAATTATAAAGTATGTATTACTATACTATTTAATTAGACCTTATTAGAATTAATTAAATATTCACGTTAATAATTATATTAGTATAATTTTAATTTAGGACAGCTCTATCCCAGGTGGTGTTTTCATATGGACAGTTGAAAATAATAGTGATCAACAATATTTTGTTAGTTTAATATTCACATTTGCAAGCGGTATTGGTGTTCCAACATATAGTACAGGTGAATTATATTTTTTGTATATTTTGTATAATTATATTTATATTTATTGTTGCCCATCATTATAAATCTCGTATAATGACCAGGCTTAAACAAAATAATTATATTTTAATTATCTTTATTTCAACTTAACAGCTAAGTAGTTTTATAATAGTTTAGAACTCAGTTCTTAAAATACTTTTTTATTTATTACATTGTATAAATTTATTTAGACATCTGCCTAAAGATGCATGCTGATATATATATATATATATATATACAGTGAAACCTCTAAATACCGGACACTCTTGGTCGTCATAATTTTGTTCGTTATTTAGAGGTATCCGCTATTCAGAGGAGAGGGAGGGGCAGGCATGCCCACAGAGATGTAGCTCACTTGGTGCAAAATTTTTTTAGAGTCAATATAAGCTATGGGGGGGCTTTGCCCCTCATACCCCCTAACACTAATTAAATTACATATATTATTTATCATCAATGATGGGTATAACAAAATAAATTTAAAACATAACTCATTTTATTTATTACTTCTAATGAAAATGTATATTATTGTTTACATTAATATATTATTAATCATTGAAAAGCAATGCCAATCGCCTAGAACTCAATCTAAACTTTTCAATAATTCCTTTTAATTGCTGTTAAAAAATTCCTTAATTTCCTATCTTTGTCGATGAATATTAATCAGACCTAAACTACTTAAACTTTCATTTCCTATTCTGTTTCTCAACTATGTCTTTAAACGACTAAAAATATAATGACAATTTATTTTATAAGAATAAAATACCGAATAAAAAATGAGAAATATAATATAGAAAATATTAACTGAAAGATCTTTCTACTGAACATGAAATTGCAGGTAAAGTAATGGCAATTTGTAAAGCCATACATACATACAACTTCATAGAACATAATCTAGAAAAATGTTTCATTGACGCGATGAATCAATGGATAGATAAGATAAACCATAATTGTATAATAATTTATAATACATAATTGTTAGATTAGATTAAATTGGCATTCAAAGATTCTATATTTAAGATAAAAATTGTCATAAAAGTGTCTGGTATTTAGGGGTTTTCCTATATGAAAGTAGTGAAAATGTCCCCATTCCCAAAAAAAAAAACGTCTGCTATTTGGAGGTGTCCGCTATTTAGAGATGTTCGTTAATGGAGGTTTCACTATATATATTATTAACCATTTTGAGTAGTGTTACAACTCGCTTTATTGTTTATACAAAATGTGGTTATAAATATTTTTTTTCTCTGGGTTGGTGAATATCTTAGAAAATAGAATTCTGATATCCTAGTGATTTATATATCTTCATGAGTATGTTTAAAAATAAAAAGTATTTATTTATTTAGTTAAACAAATAAAATAAGTAAATACAATTTTTTTTAACATTGTATAAATTAATACAAAAAAAAAAATATTTATTTATTAATTAAAAATCAATTAAATTTATTTAATTATTTTTATTTTTTCTAATTTTTTTTTTCAACATAATCACATATATTTATATATACATTCACATATCTATATATATTTATTTTATATTTTACCACAGTTTAAGAACCAATATTTTATTTTTTCTTTCATATTTTTGGAATTAATAATTATTATTTGTAATTGTATTAATCATTTAGGTTTAGCTAGTTGTCAGCCATTCAATTTAAATGAAGAAGGAACTGAAGTTGCTGGATCATTGATACATAACTGTTATAAGAATATGAATTGCACTTATGTTGTCGGTGGATTAATTAAAGTAAATTAATTAAATGTTCAAATATTAGTTCTTTTAATTTTAATTATCAATAATTTTGACAACAGGAAGGTGTAACTTTTAGTCAGCTAAACTTTGATCCTAACAGCAATGGTATGACTATTTCAAAAAGTTTAAAATTATTTGGAGAATTGAGGGATACACAATTGGACAATAATAATTTATATAGTAAATGAAATGTAATATTTTTTAATGTAAAATTAAAATGTAATTATTTTTTTCTAAATTTTTTAGTGAGAAACAAAGAAGTTGCTTCTGCTATTTGTATAAAACAATGTTTATCTCCAAACTCATCAAAATCTTATGAATTTGGATTATTTATTGATATGCCTAAGATAAAATTTCCTAAATCAAATATTGAATATTTAAGGTATGTATCTATTTATGCAATTATTAATTATGTTTAAGAAGACTAGTCATATAATGTATTTATCTTAAGGTATTATACTAAATTTTTTGGAAACAATGGAAAAGCTGGTCCTAAACTAATGCACTATTCTATGAAAAACTATAAAAATTGGGAATATGAAATTGAAAATTGGCAAAATCCTATTTTAAATGATTTGTAAGTATAATTATTTTTAAATATTTTGTATAATTTATTCTACTATTTTATTAGTATTAATAAGCTATTTATTTCAGTAATAAATTTATTATTATTAGTATTTTAATATTCTAATCAAATATATTATTAATTAATACAGTTATGTATTTTATTTGTTTGTTTTATGTGTAAATCTAATTGTTCACACAATTTTGACCAGTGTGATTGCTCTGAACATCAATTTTTTTTTCTAATAGGAAATACTAGATGCATTAACCATTTTTCATTAATGACAATTTATAAAATATTTAGATTTTATGTTATATAACATTAATTAGTGGTTATTATTAATTGTATTCCAAAAATAAGATTTACCATTTTTATTTTAGGTTGTTACCTGACTGGTACAAAAGTGCTATATTCAATGAAGTTTATTTTATAGCTGATGGCGGAACTGTTTGGTTGTTACCTCTCAAAGAGGATTGTAACAGGTTTAATTCTACAGATCCAAGATATGAGTATGGTTATTTTGGTTACTTGGAAGGCCATGAGTATCGTATGTACAATACCTATGATGTACATTTTTATGCTTCTTTTACATTAGCAAAGCTGTGGCCTAAACTGCAGGCATGTATTCAATACCAATTTAGAGATACAATTGATAATTCATTGAATATTATAAGAAAACACTTGGCCTGTGGTAAGAAAGGTCTACGGAAATATAAATATAGTGTACCACATGACTTGGGCGATCCTGGTATAAAGAATTTAGTTATATTATGGTATTAGGATGTAATTTTAATATATTTTTGTTTATGTATAGAGGAAGATCCATTTAATTTAGTCAATGCTTATTTAGTACATGATGTATCAGAGTGGCGTGATCTTAATTTGAAATTTGTTTTGCAATGCTACAGAGATTATACTGAGTTTGGTGATACTAAATATTTGGTTGACATGTTCCCTCAAGTAAATAACTTTAAATAACCATAAATTTTATTTGAATATAAGTATGATATTTCACTTTAACCTTTTGGTTTTTATTTTAAGATAATTAATTTAATTTATTTTATAAAATGAAAAAGAAAATTATATTTATTTTATTTACTTATAAAATAGATCAAAAATGTGATGAAGAAAGCATTAACTTGGGATACTGATGGTGATGGAATGATTGAAAATTCTGGAACAGCTGATCAAACTTTTGACACATGGATAATGACAGGTGTTAGGTAATAAATAGTTTATAATTTAATTTTTTTGAACATTGATTTTTGAAAAAAATATTTATTTTTCTGTTTATGTGAAAGTTTATTTAAATATTCTTTTCTACATAGCTTGATCACTTAAATTATGTTTTAAATTAATAACAATTTTGTATACCCATTGAGCTGTGTGTATAATAAAAAATTTTAATTTGGAAATGTTATATAATTTTAAAAATCTTTTAAAGTAAATTCACCTTTTAATTATATAATTAATAGGTATTTACTTTTATATATTTTAGTGCCTATTGTGGAAGTTTGTGGTTAGCAGCTCTTTATTGTACTGTACAGATAGCAAATATTTTGAAACAGGAAGACATTAGCGAGAAATATCTGACAATATTAAACAAAGCTAAGGAATCATATAATGCAATTTTGTGGAATGGTAATTTTTCGAATGATTATTGATCATAATATTTAGAAACTGATATTTAATCATATTGTTATTGAGATTTGAATGATATCTATTGATATCACTAGGTACTTTCTGTTAGGGCTAGTTATTTGATCTAGTTATTTTCAGTTTAGAAATTCAACTGAAGTATAATGCTATTAAGATGAGAAGACGATTTGGTACATGATCTAAAACATAAGTCTTAATAATCATTACAAATTTTCTTTTTAAGAAATTTAGCTCTAATATTTTTTTTTCTTAATTATTTTTATATCTGAATGAAGATTAAAAATACAACAGTCAAGAATATAAAATAAAATGAAATATTTTAAAAATGAATTGAAAAAAAAAACAATTTATTAATTTTATAAATTATATAGAAAAGCTAAAAGAATGTAATTAATATCTAGAGCCGGACTAGGTCAGAAATTTCTACCGGGAAAATAAAAAAAACGGCCCACTAAGATATATCTAAGGTACAAAAACAACCAGAAAAAAATATGTTTTCATATAAAATGATTAAATATTATTTTAAGAATTTGAACACTTAGCATTATTAAAAATTAAAAGTCATTAATAAATTAATGTATTTAATTCTAAATAGTTTCTAGTGCAATCACATTAGAAAATGTGTCTTTGTTGACACAATAAGCCTAAACCAATAAATCTAAAAAAAAACTTCCCAACCAGTACAAGCGGCCCACTGGGAAACTCCCAGTAACCGCCTGACTAGTCCAGACTAGACTGGTCTTGTTAATGTCAGACATCACAAAAAAAGAAGATGGAGAATGAATGTGATTTATTATTATCATAACCAAGTATTCAAACATATAATAGTTAAATAACTAATATAAAATTGCAGCTGGTATCTGTTGGGTGGAGGAGACAAAAATCAGATGGAATAAGGACAAGTTTTGCTGCATTAGTTGGTAGGAAGTTTAAAGCAAGTAAACTAAACGATGAACAATCAGGTAGTTAATATATTGTGAATCCAAGGATGAGGACTGATGAAAATTATGATGGAGAAAGCAATTTGAGCCAAGAGAAACAGTAATGAGGAAGTGAGGATCATTTAAATTTTGTATGAAGGATTTTTTTGTATCTAGATTAAAGGAGTAGGTCTGTTTATGTCACTTTGTAACCATATAAATTATGAAATTTTTTGTTATATTTGGGTAGATGTGAGTCCAAAAAAACAGGACTGATTTGTTAGAAAGTAAAAGGAGGTGAATAAGATGGTAATGTGTAGAAAAAGTGTAAAAGTGTAAGAATTGAAAGGAATGCAAAAAAATAAAACAGGTTTGTGAGTTTGAAATGAAAATAAAGTTATAAACATAAGTAGATATTTTTATTGTTATTCATATCAAACTAAATTATTGATTACTTAAACATGAATTATTATACTGTTTAGTGTTAGTAAGAATATTGAGGTGTAAGTAGTAAATATTAAAAATTAAAATGGATATTTGATAAAGTTTATATTTAAAACATATTTTTTGTGCAATATAGAATAAATATGTAGTACATTAAAATTATAATATATTCCATTAAAAAATACAATATTATATTAATAAACATATCAATTATCAAGATGTTGTATCCATTTTATTTTGAAAATATCATGTGTATAAAATATATGCATAAGATTTTATACAATTTAAATTAAGCAAGAGAAAAATGTTTTATAAAAAAAAGGTTAAATTAATATTAAATTATTTAATTTATTAGTTTGAACATTGATTTTATAGTATTATAATGATTTTTCTAATTAATGGTGTATGAATAAAAATAATAAATAAGTGAGAATGATTTTATTAAGAATTATTCTAATTATAATTTAAATTTAGTAAAACTACTTGTGTATAAGAATTTCTAATGAAAAAAGCATTCGCTTCGTAATCTTAATAAAAATTTAGTTAAAATTATTATTAAGTGCATGTTTATTTCTTAAGCCAGGTTCTCATAACTTGTGTAGTTGACGAATATATAATATACGAATCGAACAAATCAATTCAACAAATGTATATTTTGGTTATATATTTTTCTTTGACTCGTGTCACTTTTACCAACAATCTGCAGAAAGGTGACAAATAACGAATAGCAAATACCGAAAATCGTATATTCATAGAAGTACTCCGTTCTTACGACATGGCAAGTATCCATGAATATATAATATTCGTCAAATACACGGGTTGTAGGAACTCAGCTTTATATATGTAAAATCTTTTATATAATATAGCTATTAAAAAGGTATATTTTTAAAAAATAACATAAAATAACATTAATATTTGAATCATAATAGTAAAATATTCTAAGATTAAATTATAAAATCATCCTAGGCGAATATTATGATTTTGATTCATCTGGTCAGTATCATTCTAAATCAATCATGGCGGATCAGTTATGCGGAGAATGGTATTTGAAATGTTGTGGAGTCAAAGAAGAGGTAATATATTCAATTATAACACCACTAGTATTTTATCAATTGATTTTGTTTTTAGGTATTTCCAATTGATAGAGTTCGGAAATCTCTCTCAACAATATATAAAATGAATGTGCAAGGATTTAATGGTGGGACAATGGGTGCTGTAAATGGTATGATGCCTGATGGAAATTCAGATACATTCAGTGTGCAAAGTGAAGAAGTTTGGACTGGAGTTACATATGCTCTGGCCTCTTTAATGGTCTCATATGTTAGTATTCATTGTAATTATAAAATGCAATGCGGTGCACTGTGATATTGATAATCAATATTAATGTTCATAGGGTTTACGAGAAGAAGGTTTCAACACAGCCAAAGGTGTTTATAATACTGTTTATAATAACATTGGCATGGCATACGAAACTCCAGAAGCAATTTATTCTAAAAATGCATATCGTTCTGTTGGGTACATGAGGCCATTAAGCATATGGTCAATTCAATATGCTTTAAATAATATAAAGAAAAACTTATAAGTAAATTATTAAATTAAATTATATTTTAAAAAATAAGATTTATTTCAATAATAAAAATATCTATTTTACAAGTATATTACTCGTGTAAGTGATTATGACTATGACTAAGACTAAACTCATTGAGGTGAAAGATGCTGAATTTTTGCATATATTTAAGTTACATGATAAATTGGATGAAGTTATTGGGTTAAACTGGTCCTCAATTGATTTCCATGGACACAATCGACATTGATCTCTACCCATTGGTACAGCATGTTCGTTTAGTAAAATCATGGCTTTGTAAGTGTCCTTACATTTGTACAACACTGCTATTATGTTTGATGCAAAGGGATCTATGTATGATGTCCTCCATTTTCTATTTTTCATCTGTTCAAAGTTGGTACTCAATAATCGAGTACTATCTTTTCCAATACCTAACCTGGTTACTACGCTCAATATGTTTGGTGTGTGTCCAAAGTAAAATACACCTTGTGGTCCTGTTTTACTCATAGAGAGATTCCTATAAATTCAAACAAAGAATATTTTATTAACTATTGTAGTGTTAACATTTATTTTTTTTAAATATTAATGTTTAGCATTGTATAGTAATTGTTATTGAACATTATTTCAGCTTTGTGTATTCACCTAAAATTATCCATCAAATCCTTTACTATTGGACATCCCATGATTTCACCCATAGGATTACCATATCCATTTGAATAATAATATTTGAGATCTTCTGCGTATTCAAGAATCTTGAGAAAACAAAACATTAAATCATTAGTACATTAAAGTTAGCTACTTATCTTGAATCTATGTAGGTATAACATTTAACAAATAATGATTGAACATATTTGGCTTACACATATATATTTTAACTCTAATGGTTTTAAAATAAATATATATTTTAGATTTTGGTTGGTAGTTTTTAATAATTTACTCGCTTATTAAAATTATAAATATATTAATTATTTTAAGAGTGAATATTGTTTTGACTTGAAAATTAAATGAGGAATGTATATTTTTAAATTAAAACTTATGGAGAACTACATATTGTACATATGTTGTTCTTCAGAGGCGGACTGGGCCGGTACCAATGGCTGATACCTATGGGTTACGCTCATCCCTAACTAAATTACAAAAATAATTATCAAATTAGCAACTATAAATTGAAACCGTTTGATAAAACAGTATAATCAATAATCATAATCACGATCTATTATCTTCTATGACAGTCATGGCATCGAGATCATAGAGTTGGAGCACGGTTTTAGATATAAGTATATCTTAAACCATGAGTTGGAGTGTGGTTATCATGGACTAAGATAACAAAGGACTAGAAACGAAAAGGTTGGAGGGTGTGAGGGAAATTGCCATAAAAGTATATAGAATTTGATGGTGCAGCTAATATGCGTGGTGAATTTAATGGTCTTTAAGCGTATATCAGAAGAGAAAATCCTAAAAGTGTGTATATATATATATATATGGTGCTTTGTATATTCATTGAATTTATGTATTTGTGACTCGTGTTCGAATATTCGTCAACATTCGTCAACACTGTTATTAAAATTATTATCTTAAATTATTTTACTTATTGACTTATATTTTTAGTTTTGTTTTGTTAATACCTGTAGAAATTATTTTACTTATTGACTTATATTTTTAGTTTTATTTTGTTAATACCTGTAGAAATAGACTAAATATATTATCTAATAACTAGTTACGATATCTTATTAGGTTAGGAAACTAACCTTTGGAAAAAGTTGTAAAAAAAAAATAAATTTTGGGGCTAAGTCCTGTAGCTTGTCAAATTGTGCTTATGGTAAGGAACTTAACCCTATAGACTCCTTAAGATTTCAAGGATAATCTAGAGCCGCTATTATTTCGAGGACAGTGGGCTGGACCAGACAATCCTTGTTGCTATAGATAATTAATTTTTAACAACTTTTAATATCATGGTATTGACTGGAAAAAAATTCTGTAGGGCTGTAGTGACCTATACATTTAACGGCAAAAGGATGTTTTGCCCCCACCGTTTCGTCCCCGTCTATTATTAAGATAGGACATTTGGCCCCCGGGAGTTATATAGATTTATTTATACCTACCCATAGGACGTTTGGCCCCTGGAATTTTAAATCGCTAAATTTAAATAGTTTTTTTTTTACCTTAAAATTTAAATTATTTTTAAAATGTATAATTGGACAACGAATTTAAACCCACAATAACCGTATATTGCATAAGCCATAGCATTGCATAGGCAATGGCGTATACAATACTTTTGTATGGGTATCAGTATCAAACAAATTATTATGGAAGGAAAATTTCTAAACCTAAGTACATGCACATTTAAAAAATAAATAATAAAATATATATCGAATGTGTCAAAATAATAATTTACAATAAATCCTTGTAATATTTTTTTGTTTCCTTATAATTTTCTTAAATTAAGAACACTATTTTATACAATTTTAAAAAGGCCTATGGAGGAGATCTGACCCCCCACGTACTACCCCCTTGTATACACCCCTATGCATAGCATTGTACACGTCACAATCGGCGAACGGTTACAGGCACGCACCAATAAAAAAAAAACAATTCTAATGATAATAATAATAATTTAGGTACAATTATATTAAATAAACGTAAATTATAAATACTTAGGTAAGAGCTTCACTCAGGATTTAAAATAACCGGTTTATGAAAATTATTAGATTGTTTGAATTTTCCCTTCTGTGACCTAAACTTTAATAACGTCATTGATGCGTGGTATAATGGCATACGTTGTATAAATACAGGTGTCACCAGTGGCATAGCCAGGGGAGTTATGGGTTATAACCCCCTCCCCCGAAATATTTCTCTTATTTTGTAAGATGTACAACAATTTTAAGATATAGATATAATGTTATATCATGTCATCATCAAACAATTTTCACAGTTTCAACAAACTAAATAATAAACAATTTTATATTTTAACTTATGTTTAATGGACTTAAAATTAAAAATTTGGTATTTAATTAGGAGAGAGAATTAAAAATTTAACCCCTCCAAAAAAATAAATATTTTTTTGGCTATGCCACTAGGTGTCACAGAAGATTAGTGGTCCTCAAATATTTACCGGAGAGCTGATTTCGCCTATGACATCGACATAGAGTGTAGATATACATAGGTACAACTAGGGAGGTTTAACCCCCTTCCCCAAAATATTTATCTGTTCTCCACATAATAGGTACAAATACAAATTAAAAAGTAAGAATAGTTGACCAAAGAGTAACCAAAAAAAAAAAAAAATTAGCCCCTTCAAAAATAAAATCCTCGTAGCACCTATGTATACATATATACGTACTTCTAAATCTGCCTGTGTAAACACGGAACACCACGCAGGTCGCGTTTGAACAAACCATGCTTTATCATATTTGCATGATTCCCACATCAGCGACACATTTTCTAAAAAAAATAAAACAAATCGTGTAAATCGAGTACCCACTTCTCTGTTTTTCTGTAAGTGCGTATACTTATAGAATAATACATTATATTCGGGTATACGCAAATGCGTTGGGATTTCAAATAAAACGAGATATAGTTTATTTTATATTTTAATATTTTTCTATAATCCTGTTTCTTATTTTTATTAATTAATATTTTATAATATATGTATATTGACCCTTAAAAATACTATTTGATTATTTGATTAAACTTAATATAGTAAATTATTCAATTACTTATTATTATTTATATCTATGAGACATAGGTAATATAGGTAATCATAAAAAAATAAAATCTATATTCATATATTTCTAGGAGTGTGATTGTAGACTGTAGAGGCCTGTATTGCGGCAGGTTATAGTAATATAATGTATGCAGTTTTAAATTTAAACACAATAATAAAGTAGTATATAAGAGGAAGGGAGGGGGAAAAGCCTTCACGTTTACATGTCAAGCACATTTAAGCGTATACTCACCGAAAAAATAAATTCTACATTTATTAGTAAATAAATAAAATTATTAAAAAGGCTTTGTGTTTTTAGACAAAAAAATATTTTCGGTAACTGGAATTAATTTTGCCGATTCGATTTTTCGAGGTTTCACTGTGTGTGCTATAAGAGAAGATAAAATTAATTATGGGATCGAGATAGCTAAAAATAAGCATTTAGAACGGACGTTGAAAAGTGATATTACTGGATTTTTAATGTCTTTAAATTTATGGAGAAATTAAGTAATTATTTGATTATCTGGTGACTGGTTCACCATGATATTGGCGTAAGTTCGTCTGTGGGAGTGAGGTTGTGGGAGAAAACCTGAGTAGGAGGAATCGGCGGGATCCGTTTTACTTTAATTTGTTAGTGAGTTGCAGAGTAGATTTTCTTGAAGAAAAGACATCCTATATAGGAAGATGTGTGGGCCCCACAACATAGGGCAGTGGATTAATTAAAAATTTGTCTTGGGAGGGAGGTAGACATTTTTTTTACATACAAAATACTTAGATTTTTATGTACAATGGTGAGTGATATCTGGCAGTGATATTTCATCAATTATCCTTAAACTAGTTCATAAGTACACAAAATGTATTAATAAATGTTGCTTTAAAATTCTACTCAATTTAGTGTAAAATATAGTACTATATTATAATAAATTCTTCAAATTTTAAATATTGAATATATTTAAATTAAATTTTACTTTTAAATTAAACAATAATTATTAAAATATTAAACTAATTTTGCTTGTAATACAATGTACATAGCTATTTTTTTTTGTATTGTTTATAAAAGAAATTCTAATTTTTTTGGCTTTTTAGCCTACTCGTTAATCACATCATTAGGATTTAGTAGAATTTAATTTATTGTCTTTTTTTTTAATTTCATATTCATCATATAGCACTGGCTATCATCTCGTACCTTCTTATTTGTAAATTAAATCTTAATGATTTCCTTCCAGTGGTGCAATTATCAGAAGTATTGGATGTACAATTCACAGAAATCTCCGGTTTTGGGGGGCCCCGAGATCTCTTCTGATATTACCTTTGTTCCTTACAATATTTCTACTATTATATGTAATACGATTATACACATATTATGTTATTTCTTTAATAATTTTAATGTAATAATAATAAATAATAATATAAGTTTGGACATTTTCACATGGGTTCCTTATCATAAAGTTGCGCCACTGTTCCCTTCTCTGCACACTCCATTTAGAAAAAAAAAATCTGTATTCCATCTTATTCTTTTTGAATATCCTTCCTCACCTACTAAACGCAATATCCTAATTAGTCTTTCAATAACCCATTCCATACTTATAGAATTCTAAATTTCAAAATCTGCTCATTCTTATTATTTCCTTTATTCATGAGACTGGTTTCTATATATAATCTTTTATTATTTTAATATTTTTATGTCTTATGTATTGTATCTATTGTATTTTCATTAATTAATCGATATATTTTATCATAATTGTCAAGCTTAATAGTATTTCTAAAATATCTATAAATAAAGCAAACAAAAATCTATAAAAAATAACTTTGTAGGCAGAACAAAACATGTAGATAATAACTTATTATTATAAACCGGTATAATTTATTTACAAATTAAATTTATTCGACTGCACAAAGAATAATTTATGTTTTTAAATAATTACCGATGAAAAATAATTAAGTACCTATACAACTTCTACGTTCATGAACTCTGATGTGAACACTATGATAGACGGGTTCAAAATAAAATCTTACAACTCGATCAAGTTGATGTTCGTTTATGTTGTAAATGTTATTAAATTAATTATATCAAGTAACAATAATAAATTAATGTAAATGGTATATTATTGTTAATTTTTCATCTCGCCGATTTTGGGGCAAAAATAAATACAAATTCTAAAAATAAACTAACAACACCGCCGATCAAGACAATGTTAATTATGTCGACTACGCGTCGAGATCATGGCGTTAAACGTGTTAAATATTTGGAATTAAATAATATATAATAATAAAATATACCATATAAAATAACTTAGATTATGAAAAAGCTTTTGGCGTCCGATGCACACGCATCTCTCGCACCCCCTTGGCGCGGCCGTCCCTCTTAACGCAGCACGGCGTATACGTATAGTAATTCTTTATGTATCCTTAAGATTGGCATCTATAATACTGAGAAAGCCCATGGTTTATTTAAAATAGTTTTTCAATTGAGACAGTGTCATAGGTTAGAAATATTTAAAATCTCATTGTTATTTATATCTGCGTGAAGACTCACGGAAAATAATGATAAAGGCATATTATTTTTTTTGATATTAGTTATATATTGAACCGTGTGATCTAGTTGGGATATGGCATATGTAATATCGACAGTGAGGTTTGAATAATGCAAATTCTTAAAGATGAACCTGAAAGGCCGTACACAAGGTGGACAATATGAATGATTTTCAAAATTCGTATATTTAAGGTACTTTATGATAATATTGAAATACTCGACCCTATCATGGTAAATTATTAGAACATATTATGTTAACTTACAGCAAAATCCATTAATGCCCATCAGGGCTAATAATTACTTTTTTAATATGCTATTTATAATAAGTTCGTTACATTTTTTTTATGTGAATAATAGGGGATGTTGAAGATAAATGTCGTTTTGTACTGGGTTTGTTTTTTTTTTTTTTTTATAATTGGGCCTACGTGAACTTCCATACCCGAGTAATTGTTTTTCATGATAATCCTTATATATATCAAAGAACAGGCCTTTTTATGTTCAAATTTTGTGACGACACTGAGATGTTGAGATAGATGTTGCAATATTGTTCAATTTTTCATCTCAAATAATGTGTATGTGGAGGTAATTGATGCTATAGTGGAGTGAAATGAATTAGAAAATTTGTTTATGTATCCTCTTTCAGTCTTCTTCATTATTGACTATATAGGTATGCCGTTAAATTGTACACATTCAAGGAGTAACCATAATATGCACTTATATCACGTATTAATTGCAATTAATGAGCTTTGATATATTTTTGTTGTACGCACATGTATTTAATGTAGGAGGTAATTAATTATGAAACATTAATGTATATATTCAATATATATGCAGGAAGAGGACTCCGCAATTGAGCGAGCGAAAACGATAATTGCACACAACGATGTCCAGTAAGCAACGACGTAGGAGGGGGAGTGTTATGAGGATGGAATGAGTGATGGGTGATGGTTGTTTAATGTAATAGTTGATTATATTAAAATTAATGTAACAAATCCGTTCCATAATTCGTTTGATTAATCTAAATTAGCCAAAGTATATACAATAATAAAAACGGAGAACAATAGCTGTAATAATAATAATAGTCAATTTAAGCATGCGTCGTGTTGCAGTGAGAGACCGATCGAGCTCATACCTGTACATTATGTTTGTGCAAAAACTACATAGTATATACACTATACAGTTTGGTAAACTAAATATTTCTGTTCACTGATATTGAATTTAACACTTTGTATAATGCCTAGTTATTTTATAAAATACCTGAATTATCCATAATGCCGATGACATATAATATGTATATAAGAATACAGAAATGCGAAAAAAATTAACTTCAAATACTAAATTTGAAGTATTTTAAGTTAATATTAAGTATATTATATTATACTTCATATAATTATAATATAAATAATTATTTTGAATAATTTTTATAATATATTTTATAATATATAACATATATTATAAAATTTTATAATATTTATATAATTATGTTATTTTATATAATATGTTATTTATGTAAATATGTTATTTTATATAACATATTTTTTATAATATGAATAATTATTTTATAAAATTAAAATCACATAGGTCCGTTCTTAAAATGTCCGGTTAAGTGTCCGTCAACGCTTACCGGCGGTTAGTCCAATTTTTAACTGACAGTCAGTTTTTACCAAGCCTAGTTAAGTGATTAGTATCCGTTAACTTTCCGTAAAATGGATGTTGATGGTCGGATTGTAAATAGACAGAATTTGGTCGGTAATCATTCAGTTAAACCATAATCTTCGGTTTAGATTGTTTTATCTTTACATACAAACAATAATTTCTGTGATAATAATTTTGATAAATTTAAAAACCAGAAAAATGTAATTATATGATAAATTAAAAATTTGATTATAATATTTTATTGTCTCAGTTAGGAATATTGGTCATACGTTATACAAAATGTTTACAATAATAATACCATACAAAAAATCATTCAAAAAATTCAATAACATGAATAATATATTGGTTAATGCTGTAAGTGCTGTTATAATTTCCATATACGGACATATGAATTAATGTCAATGGAATAATAATGACCATCATCGTGAACAAAGAAACTCACCGTAACTTAAGTTTTGTTTAAGTCCCATTACCATAGAAACCCTCGATACAACAGACCGCATGTGTGGGCCATCTTCGAACTTTTTCACTTCTTGTATTTTGTTGTCATTTTTTTCGTCGTCTGCATCTCCGATTTGTTTACACTTGTATAACTATTAATATGAAAACAAATCGCTGTTATTTGTGTATGATTATACAATATTGTAAATACTGTTATTTAGCTTCTATATTCATATTAACCAAGAAAAAATGTCCTGTTTATTATAATAAAACATAATTTATAAAAATACTAATTAGAATATCTTAAATCTTGTTTCTCGATTTGGTTACTATATCTTTTGCTCAGGATTAATTCCTATGTGATATTTAGATATTTTTCTTGAACAGTAGACTTCTTAAAATTTCGAAGTGAGAGTTCAAATAAATATTTCACATTTAGTAAGGAGAGGTGAGGGAGTATGTGTGAGTGTGCGTGGGCGTGTTAGTATGTATGTGTGTGTGTTAAATATACGGACCTTTTATTGATTCTGACTACTGTTGATTATACTGAGATTACGAATTAGATAATAACGAAAATAAAATAATTATTTTATTTAATAACAGCTTGCAAAATTGTTCTGATAAAATTCTTGGATCCTGCCTATTTATATTATATTAAATTGAAAATTGTTTCTTATTATTTTTAAATGTTTTTCATACGGTATATAATTAATAAATATTATTTGGCATATGAATATAAATCATATATTTTGTGATCAAGCATTAGTGCTTTATAGTAGGTAGTGCATGAATAAATTATTGATTGAAAAATCAACAAATAAAATATACAACCAAATATAGTATTATATTACGGTTCTTACTACTTGAATTTAGTTATCAAATCGTTTATGCATAAATAAATAATATTATCAATCAAATGCATTGCTTTTCGTAAAAAATATAACATAGTATAGTTTGTTAATTCCGTGTAAGTTATGAAAAACACTTAGATGAGTTTGTAAGCATTTAATTTGGCTGCATCCGAATTGGTTCCCATACCTAAAAATTGACATCCGAATTGGTTCCCAATAAATACTTTCGAAAAGGGCGAAATCCAATCTAATTATATTTGTTATTTAATATTATTATTTTACTAACATTTTGAAATTTCCCATCTTTATAAGTACAAGGTGGATTGTAAGTACGAATTTCGGAATGGATAAGATGAAATAAATTATCATTTAGATAAAAACCGTGATAAAACGGGCGTTATATTATCGATATTGATGGATATCTAGTCGTACTTATAAGTCAGTACGGCATTCAGTAATCCACCGTAATAACCGCAAAGTGTTTGTATTAGTGATTGTATTTGTGTTTTAATATTTTCGAATATGGAATATATGTACAGTGAAAAAAATAAAAAACTTATTGTATTGTTTGTTATAAATTTTTACCTCAATAATACAAAAAATGATAAGAATAATACTTAAAAATAAATTGACGAATTAATATTATGTTTATTATATTATTATAAGAATATCATTATACAAATTAAAGTGAAAAAAAATCAATGTTATATATACATACAGTCCTAAGTCTGTATAAAATGGGAAGGAAAAAAGAAAATATTTTGACCAGGGAACCAACTCGGATATACCCTTCGTATCAATCCGGAAACCAATTCGGACGTTTCGGAACCAATTCGGACACTCTGTTTAATTTTAGGGGTCTACGAAAATGGAAAAAATTGGCACGTGATCTACAAAGAAAAAAAAGTTTGGTAACCTCTGAGTTAAACGGTTAAAATTCCTTCACGTAATGTACTTACAATTTGCAGATAGAATATGGTTCCATTTTCAAAGTTAAAATGCACACAGTTAAAACCTTATCATGGTATATCGAAAAAAAAATTTTTCTATAGAACATTGACACTATTCTTTTTAATAAAAATTTGATAGTAAATCATGTGATACCTTAATACTAATTATAATAAAGACATAATAAGTTTTGGTTAATCTTTCATGTTTATAGTTTACCCATACGTACTAATTCAAAAATGATTTTAATGTATATTTACAAAATCACAATAAATACACACGTGGCTGAATAATATATTTTTTAGCATATTTTTTCAAGTGTTCAGTACTTACATAAAATCTGTCGTCGGACGTTTGTACAATTGGTAAATCTTTATCTGGGTTTTGGTTGAATAACGTCTGATAAAAAGCTGTAGCACTGTCCTGAGCACGTTTTTTGTGTGAAGTCAAAAACTGAAAACAAAAAAATCGCTTTTAATTTCTCAGTATTCATCAAAACTATCTGAGGTGTTATTATAAACCATCTTCAGGGGTGACCTGGCCTCCTGGGATACTGGGAGGTTTCCGGTGGCCTGACCTATTTATTGGGATTTTTCATTGGCCTGACGGCCATATCACGTTTTTTTTTTTAAATAATTAGTTAGTTTTTAAAAAAAAAATGAAATAGTTAGTTTTTAAAAGAAGTTTTTGCATTTCAAAAGTTGTCTAAAACATAGTTAATAATATTTTAGAGGAATAAAAAGTAAACTCACTTGTTAAGAACCCCTGTTATATTAGTTAGTAAGCAGAATAGTATTATGTATATTATATTATAATTATACGTGATTGTTTGTGTCACCACTATTCTGCGTATTAGCATCGCAGTCGAGACCGGGCTGTAAGGAATGTGCTGAGACAACCCTTTTGGATCACACACACGATACCTGGGTCCCGACTGGCGGGCAGTTGTTAAGTGTGAATGTCCGTAAGCAGAACCTCGTCTTAAATTTAATAAACTTTATTTTCGTTTAACAAAAAGATATTTTTCCTTTTGCACCAGTACCTTTTTCTTTTATTATTATATTTTAAATATAATAAGTTGTGCAAAACTCAAGTACGTGCACAACACACTAATGAAAATACTGAAGAGTTTATGCTAATGGCAGTTGAAAAAAAAATTTCGATAAATATTGATAATGATCAAATAATTGATATATTGTCACAAAAAAGTAAGCGTCTTTCAACATGTCTTTAAAATGTCTTAACTTATTATTTATATTTAAAATATAAAATTAATTATGTATGTTTAATTGATGTATGTATATTATTTTTAGTTTGTATATAAAATATGATTTATTATAAAAAATTTAATCATATAGTTGGTATTGCTTATTTATAAAAATCAATGGCTAATTGAACTTTTTTTTTAGTTGTTTAAAGAGAATACATAGAGTCACAGAGGTATACGTAACTAGGCCTTCGAAATTGAATTGACATGAACAGACAATAGTCTCACAAAAATATTGATACTTATTGAAGGTTTATTTTTTTTATGTTCTCTTACATATAATAAAAACTAAAAGATTAGATAAATAAATAATTATTATATATTATAAATTATTATATATAGGAAGGTAGAACAGAAGCTTAGCCCTCTTCTACCTCCCCCTCCTCACTATAGTAACAGCCTATAAGCTAAAATTAATATGTGGCCTGGGTAATAAATTTTCTCGTCCTGAATTTTTCTCCCAGACCGTCCCTAGTCATTTATGACGATATATAGCCTATATAGGCATAGACGTACACAGAACTGTATTTCAGAGGGTGCCTTCAATACTTTTGGGCCCTAAAAGTAACAAAACGTGTTAGGATATTTATATAAATAATTAAATAAACATAATTTTTACTTTTATTTAATATTATGGATTTATTTTATCTATACTACTATAAAAAAGTAAATAAAATAAAGTCACTTTTTTTTGTTTGGGATAAACTCTGAAACTACTTATTGGATCGTCGTGCAATTTTTTTTAAATTAAAGAGGATATCACAGAGAAGGTTTTAGGCGTAAATTTAGTCCGATAAAGTTTATAAATAATTAGTTATTAGTTATCTATATATATATATATAAAAATGGAGCCAAAAATGTATAACATTTTATCAATTGAGAACGGCTGGCCCAAATCGGCCCGATTTGGCTCAAATTTTTTTAATTGTTCGTAATTGCCAGGAGAAGGTTTTTACGAAAAAAAATGTTGGAAAAGTGCTATTGTTAATAATATTATATTAAATTATTATTATTATTATTATTGCTAATAATTTTTGACCAGGTGTCACAGGCGATTATTACCCCCTATATTATTACCGGGGAGGGGGGTAATAATCTACAGTAACAGCGATTATTAACCCCCTCACAATTTTTTACCGGGGGGTATTAATTGTCTGAGGTAATAATCGCCTGAGGTAATAATTGCCTACAGTAACAGGCGATTATTACCCCCCTTAAGGTTGAGCCCCCGGGGGGGATGACGAGGGTGTCATATACTAATAACCTTCCCATGACCTACTTTTTATGCTTATGTTTATATTTACTCGTTTGTTTTTGAAAAACAGAAACCTATTGTAGTATTATTAGTTTTAGTTTTCTAGTCATGATAATATTATTATAAATAATATATATATAGGCATATTCAATAGAGGTGAAAGTAATTAACTGTTAATAAGAAACACATGGAGTGATTCGGTAATCAGTAAAAATCGACAGGTAAAAAAATGACACAGCAATAAACGACAAGTTGAAAAACGTTAATTTTGGCTAAAAGTTATTAAAATAATTGCTGTTAAATATTTTATTAAAATATTTTTAACACTTTCAACGATGCCCGTGTTGGTAATAAATTACTGTTTTTTTCTTTAACACATTTTTAATCAAAAATGCTGAATCCTTATAATAAGCACATAAGCATAAAAAGTCGGTCATGAAGAGGTTATTAGTATATGACACCCTCATCATACCCCCCGGGGGATTAACCTTAAGGGTTGTAATAATCACCTGTTGCTGTAGGCGATTATTACCTCTGGCGATTAATAACCCCCAGTAAAAAAATGTGGGAGGAGAGGGGGGGGGGTAATAATCGCCTGTTACACCGGTCGATAACTGCGCAATTGAAAATGAATTATTAAATAAAACTATTAAAAAACTATTAAAAAGATCCCGCAACAGGTGCCAAAACAAATAAGAATGTTAGTTTGAAAAATTATTATGCATATCGGTTGATGATTAGACGCGATCAGGACAAAGTTATTCTACGTCATGAGTTTTGTCAACAATTCATGGTCGAAATGTATTTAAAGATAGAGAGCGAACGATTTTGATACTTGCGATTCAATCAAAAAAAGCTGCGTGCAGAAGATTCTCAAAACAATTGTTAGATATTGGAGATGGGAAAGTTACTACAGATGAAACGAGATATATAAAATTATTGACCGATTTCTGCACAATCATTTATTCGTAAGATGTTCTCATTGACCAGATATTTCCCAATGTACACAGACAATACACGAATCATGAGTGGCTGGCAGAAAGAGCAATACGTGGCATGCTCTCGAACCATCCAGTTTGTTTGTGTTTGCGAAAGATGGGATAACAAAAAATGTGTACACTCTGTTGCATTAAGGGATTGATATTGTTCTTTACTAATATTGTCATAATTAGCGATATATATATAATTTTAATGGATGAATTTTAATAAATGATTAAAAAAATAAATGTTTGATTTTTTTTCATTTTTATATTTCGTCACCGTTCATAGCATTCCATACCTCTTCCTTACATCCTTATCCTTACCCACATCCTTACACGCCTATATTAAATTAGTTATTTTTTTCTAGCAAAATATTCTCTAGAAATAATTTATATGACAAAACAACGTTTGTCGGTTTAGCTAGTTATTATATATTTATTATTAGTTCCAATGAATATGCTTTTTACTTTTGCATTTAATTGTAGCTATTAAATTATCATAATAAGTTTTTGTATGAAATTTAAAACATTTTATTTTATTTATTTTTACCAAATATTTTAGAATAAATTACATTTAATTTGAGAAACATAAGTTAAAATAGAGGTTCCTTACTCTTAAACTTAAATAGTCCCATTTACAACATTTTTATAGGTACTCGAGCACACCTGGCACTCCTGTGAGCGCGCCTAAATATATAGGTACGACTTACATTATACAGCGGAATTGGTGTTTTGTATTATCATGGTATGACAATTACGAAAAGCGACTTACTTATATGTACTGCTTAGAGTTTAAAGTTAAATAAAAAATTAAAAACCATTTTATTTTATGATTTTTTTGATATTTTATTAAATTATTATTATATGCATTTTAAATTGCGATATGCAAGGTATAAATCTACGAATACACATTTTTACATGTTTATATGATGTAAACGAAGTTTGTGTTTAGATATATTTAATAGTCTATAGAAATAGAATGTTAATGACTTGATTTTTTTAATATGCAATGCACTATTAGTTGACTTCTATAATTTTTAAATTTCAACTAAATTTAATAAATTTATCCTTTTATTTTTTTTGATATTTTCGTTATACAAGTTTTAAATTATTTGTTATTTGTTTTTTTTTTAATATTTGAATTTAATTTTTCTCTTTGTAGGACATACACGTATAATTTTAGGTCTTATCTTTAGATTATCTTAATTTTATGTTTAGCTATTTACTATACGAGTGTCTAGAGACACCGCCTCACATCTGCACTATTATTATCAGTATTACACTATCACTACAGTTGCTAATTATTTAGTATAATTAATTTATATAGTACAAACTACAATGTCATTAAGTGAAGAATTAGAAATGTTATATGTCTTTTCTTGTTGTAATATTTTTTTTTCAATATTATAATCAGTTTCATTTCGTAACTGATCATTTATTACATTTGACGGGATTCCACTTTCAATTTTACCTATAATTATAATAATAAGTACATTTTATATAGGTATAATTTCAAAATATAATTTAGTATTTAAGTTTCTTAAGTAATTGAATATAATACTTACAAGATTCACTCTACAGTACATTTTAATTAAATATAGATATCTTACACAGTTTAGTTTTGTAGTCTTGTGAAAAATACTTTTATTTTGTATTCAAATACTATTAGATTATTAGAATATAATATTTTTTGCCCCGCTAATATTTGTCAGTTTTGGATTGGGTGGTAATAAGTATATGAGAGAATACGTATTCAAATAATTTACAAATACTTTACAAACAAGACTGGTTTAACATATTATTATGAATTTTTTAAATCATTACCTTGAAGAGAACAAAATTTTAAATTTATTAATTCTAATTTTTCACTTGATGACATTGTAGTTTGTACTATATAAATTAATAATACTAAATAATTAATATATTACAATTAATATAATTATTAAATAATATAGTATTATGGCTGTTGGTTTAAATATAATATTTAAATGTAATCAATCGAATATGTGATAAGGTAATTGTAGTGATATTGTAATACTGATAATAATAGTGCAAATAAGAGGCTCTGTCTCTAGACGCTCGTATTTACTATCGAGTTAATCAGGGACGGCTCCAAAGGGGCCTTAGGGGCCGCGACCCTCTCCCAAGCCCGTACCGTATTTATAAAAACAATTTATATTGTTAACAAAAAATGCATATTATAATATCCACTATCATACGACACGCACAAGTATGTAGATAGAGTCATAGAAGTTGACGGTTGAAAGGAGTTTCTCCACATTTCGGAGACTAAAAACCTGGCTTCGTTTAATGATGACTGAAAATAGACTATCAGCATTATTTCTAATTAATGTGTATCATACAATAGATATTATAGATCTATTAAATTATATTACTGATATTTTTACTAATTTTAAAAATAGACTATTTGAATTTTTGTTGTAAAAATTGTTGTTTTCTTTTTGTTATAAGATTTTGTAAAATTAAAACTTGCTCCCCCTCCTAACCAAGACTCTAGAGCCGCCCCTGGAGTTAATATGTAATCTTATTTCTGTTAGAATATAATATTATCCATAGTCATGGGCGGATATTTGGAGGGGGGGGCGATCCCCCCCATTGGGCTTTTTTTTTTTTACAGATTTATTTAATATTTTTTATATAGGTATATATAATAATTTTATAAATACCTATAAATTATGTATATAATTGTATGAGTAAGATGTTAATAAATAATAGTTGTGATCACAGTTCTATATACGACCGAGGTTGTGACCGAGCGACCGAGCTATAACCATTGATTTTATAATAAACAGATAAGCCGAGGTATAGGAATATTTGGAAATCGTATTTTTAAGAAGTCATTTATAGGTTTGCAAATGAAAAAAAAAAAAACGTTGAATTATTATTGTAATTAATATTTTTTAATAGCGAATTTTTATAGGTATAAAGATACCTAGTTAATTATTTGTATTAAGCGTTGTACTTATTTTTCAATAAATTGGTTAAATAACGGTCAAGTATTCATTGTACTCTATATATCACTCATTAATATTCCTATTTGCCCCCCCCCCTTTAACCAGGCTTTAGATCCACCCCTGTCCATAGTTAATAACTTTCATATTATATATAGTTAATCACTTTCGTACTATATTTTATTGAAATTCATTTTCAACTCAATATAAATTATTTTTAGCTTATTAATTTATATTGATTTCTTATACCTTAAATATAAATAAAAATTGTAATTTTTAGAACATTTTTCAATCTTAGTAATGTTTTTTAGAAAATTTTATCTTATTAAAATCGGTAACATTATTTTTTTACTCAAGTGTTGGTTTTATTTCGTAATTTAAGATAATATACGTACTTTGTATTTGTTTTTGTCGAACGTCGAATTGAATATCTGTGGAAGTAATCTCTTAAGTCGCAAAGCCAGTGACTTGAGCTCTTCAATCCCTTGTCTATGCAACATATAATGGAAACTACTGGTCAAATTGAACTTCCAATTCCTGATGGTGGCGATGTCTTCCGGGCACAGCATTGATTCGGTAGTTATCATCGTTTTAAAATCGTGCAATTTTTTCAGATTCTCAATCATTTCCTGTGATGGATACCTTGTGCCGTGCCTGGACACCATCCACACTTGCATCGGTCTGCAATCTTATAATGCACAAGCATTTATGACAATATCATGTAAATACTGTTGATTTATCTTGTATAAATTTCTACTTTTACTAGAGTTAGAATGCCGTCGCAGAATTTAGGCACCAATTTTTTAAATGGGTTTTCAATATTCAACAAAGGAAAAAATATCAAGATGGGTGGGTATGAAGGGTGATTATAAAATTTTTGTTTAAGAAAAAGTTACTGAGTGTTTAATAACTGTCCTTCCTCTTTTATGTGCAAATAACCATCATATTCTTATTTATGTGTAGGTAAAGGCAGTTGTGACAATGATGATATAATTATACTTGTTACAGAATGCCTTATGAGAAACTATCACCCAAACGCAGAAATATTTAATAAGGAATTCAATCATCAACTTATAAGATATTTAATAATTTAATATTTATCGAGACCAAATAAAAATGGTTATTTTACGATGAAAACCATATATTATAAATGTTTACATTTAGTCCATTGACCGTTATTGATTATTTTTAATGTTTTTGTGAAGTTACGACAGTAGCGATAACATTTTTTTAACATTGCTTAAAAACATTTAGGTATATCCACAAAAACCATTCTACAAATATTTATGAGGGCATATATATTTTTAATGTAATATGTTTGTTGTATTTATATTATATTATAATATCTTATAATATATTTTTTCTGTGATTATAAATGGAAGTATTATTTAATAGAATTAAAACATATTATTTTAGGTTATATACTCCTGAACACAATATAAAAATGTATTAACTATAGCAAATATACATGTATATAACATAAGATATGGGGGGGAAGGGCTTTAAACCCTTTGAATTATACAAGTCTGATTTACGATTGTACTGCCTACACACTTCACAACACGTCATGATGTACGTTTTAATGGATTTGTAAATTAAATATTTCCTATCAATGGGTGTTCATTAGAAATTTGAGAGCAATGTCACCGACCAAGAATCGCATTTGTAAAACTATAGTTTTTGAATAGTAATTTAACTACCTTTTTATGTCCAAGGTGAAAACTATTTATTAATTTTTTATTACAAGCGATTTCTTTTCTTCATTTTATCGGAACGGGCCTGGAAAAGTTAGTTTTAAACATCATTTATACGAGTAATTAAGTATTCGTTCTACTATATACACGTAAATCAAATATGATATGATGTATAGAATAAATAATAAATCATAAATATGTTTAATACTGAGATTTATTAATTATTTAAATATTTTAAGTTATAGTATACTCTCGATTATCCGCGGTTTTATGCGAAACGAACTATGTGCATATGTACATACAAAAAAATAATGTTTCATAATCATTACATAATACATATCGTCACCTAAGAACCATGATGGTAAATCTCAGTTTTCCTAACTTTTGAGGACGAAGAAAAATCTGTTTTGTTGTTAAGAATTCTAAATTTTAGTACATATCTTGACATTAATTAACTCTGAAATGTGTACTTAATCTTTTTGAAAACGTATTATTACCAAAATTCTATTTTCACTAAATTTATGAGATTGGCCTTAATAGTGTAATTTTTACACATTAGATAGGCCGTGATAAGGATATAATAAATAATACTTTCCTAAGCTATAAAATTATAATTAATATTATTATTATGGTTTTTTTTTATTTTTAAAATATTTGAACAATAGGTAAGATAAAAAATAACTTTCTAGTAAGTAAAAGAAGAGTATGCTGTAGATACATATTGTTTAAAACATGATAAATTATTGATCTGTATGCATTTTTTTTTAAATAAGATAGTTTATTGGAATATATGAATATAGATATGCCTAGCGAGTGCCAATAAGGATTTTTATGAACTGCTATAAATATTGTCATTTTTATTATATCTAACACTCAATAGGTAATCTTAAAATAACAGTAAATGTGCACCTTTAAAACTTCCAATGCAATAATAATAATTATAATAATTATTAATAAAAGTATGTTTGAATAAATATTCTGTAAGATACGAGTTTTTATAATTTGTTGAACGATGGTATACATTTTAGATACTAATTAAATAAAAAAAAAATTATTAATAACATTATTACATTACTAAAATACTTGACAAAAGATTAGGTACTAAAATACTACATTGTATTTGTTTTTATTATTTGCATATTGGCTTATTAGTTTTATACTATTTACAAAAAATAACCCATTGTAGTATTCAGTACTTAAAAAAATTATTTAAGCATCGGTACTTAAATGGTTAACAACACCGAATTAACTTATTACTTTTTTCATTAGAACCTCTTACGAAATATTTCCTATTTGTATTGATAAATATTTCATATTAATAATATAATACATTGTTCGTAATATATTAATTTCCATGGGTAGTTATATTGCACCTATTCTTTATGAAAAATTACATCTTAAAATAAAATAAATAAAGCAATTGAAAATATAATTTTATAAAATTTTCATTTGTTACATAAAGACTGAAAGATTTAATACAATTAATTACGTTTTTTCAAAATAGTTTAAGAATTTATCTTTAGTAGTAATTGAGAGGATCAAGAATCGTGTTTAATATGATGAAGTTATGTGATGAAATAATATGATTTTACAATTTTTCAAATAATACGAGTGTAATAACCACTAAAGACTATTTTATTTTAGTTGTATAAATATTGAACATGTACTTCATTTCGATCTTTAGTTATGTGCAATAATTGACTTCGTTTTGGCCATACAGACGATTAATAAATATTGCCTTGGGAAACCAGTCTGCTCCCATGGTAGATTGGCCGATCATCTTTTATCAAAATCCTCCAGCATAGAAGCAACGGATACTTCATGCTTTAATTGCAAAGGCTCCCATGTAGCTTCAGATAGGTCTTGACAAAAAAAGAACCAAGAAAATTATGGCCACGGAAAATATCTTTTTTAAGGATACCTATCATATTTAAAAAATAAAATTGTAACGAAATCTTTTTTTTTTTTTTGCGGATATGGTTACCGAGCTTTATTCTACAGCTGTAAAGGAAACCAATGTTTCTCCCGTTATTTATTCTAACATTTCATTTTCCGTTCTCCCACAACAACAAACTTATTCAAAAAATAAAAATAATTTCCGTAAAAATAACAGCTCTTCTTCTTCTCAGCACGTGACTCCTCTATCAAATGTTACAAACACTTTTTCCTCTTCCCCTAATAGAAATTTTTTTAAATATATGTCTGAAAACTCTTAAGCTCAACCCGCCGAAAATTTCTGAATGACCAAATTCGCGAATTACCTTTCTCAAACTATAATAAATACACCATCCTCTTTTTCTTCACAACCTTCGTTAAACAAATTAATTGAGCCTTATGTTTTAAATTTCATCTTCACAGATTACAATTCCTTCCCAGAATAATAATTTTCCCAACAGTAATCTCTTTCCAGTGGATCACTAGAAGTATAAGAGCTTGTTTCAATGACTTACTATTTTTGCTTGCGGAGAATAATTGTCATTATGCTTTAATATCTGAAACGTGGCTTCTTCCAAACTCATTTTTTGTTATTCCTCAATTAAATTTTTTTTGTTCGGACCTCCCAGATGGGTATGGTGGAGTTGTTATCATTGTACAACATTCAATAAAGTGTAAGCCTATTATCCTTGACTATCCCTTGAAACAATCATTAGATACTCCATTGAAAAAATTAATTAAATATATTAAATTTTAATTTCACTCCAGTCATATTAAGTATTCTACATTTTATGAGAACCTAATTTAGTTTAATGTTTATTCTTTATTTATTCTATTTTTTTTTTTCTGTTATTTTTCCGTTCTCATTATATTTCTTATGTTCTGCATGCTTTATATGTTATTTTTAAAATAAGATTTAAGCTGTAATAATTTAATAATTAAAAGCTTAAAAAAAAATTACTTTATTTCATATATAGTATCGATTTAAAAAGTCGGTAAGACACTAGGGAAGAGTTAATACCATCGTGTTAATAGCATTATTTATAAATGCTTTTCTAATGGAATGTGAAATATTTAATCACACACAAATAAACGTTTAAATTTCATGTTGATGGATTTTACTAAAGATTGTTGTTATTTTAAAAGTGATTAACTTAATAGATAATAAGATAATAAGATACTTACTTAAAAATTAATTTTTATCTATAATGTCTTTTTCCGTAGTCGGTATATTGATTATAAATGGCTCACAATCAGCTTTGTATCAAAAAATGTTTAATTTATAATAATATGTTTATAGAACGTCTCACGAATATATACCTAATTATTCATATTATTATTATATTAATATATTTATATTGTTTATTATAAAAATATTTTTTTGTTATTTATTAAAAAATAATGTATTAAATATATAAGTGTTTTAATATTCAAAATTAAATCTTATTTTTTGATAATTTTAAGATATTTTTATGATATTAAATAATATACTTTTTTCTGTTAACTACAATTATTATTAAAAATTATAAGGTTAATGAAAATAAAAATTTTAAATTTCAACATTTTTAGAGAGAAAAATTTATAAAATTACTAAAATAAATGTAATTTTAATTTGAAGTAAAGTTTTTTCAATTTTTATTTATAAAATTTAATTATTCACATAATTTCTGGAGATATTTCAATGAGTATATTCAAGACCTATGGTTTAAGACTTAATGAATTGTTAAGTACTCATTATTTAATTAGGAATTCGTCATGTACACTATTATTTTTTACACGTTATTTACAGCCAACTATATTTATTATGTATTACTCGGAATTTACCACAAGTCATAAATTGTTTTTACGCGTTCACCAATTTGGCATGAATTCCTTCATGTGTTTATTTTTTGACATAGGATTTTATAATACACTGAATATTTTTTGACCAGCCAGTCTCCATTACATAATAACTAGTAAAATTATTTATAAAAAATTAATATGATCAAATACAAATACAGGATTGTTCATTTATTAGTTAAATTTATAGGTTTATAAAGGTTTTTTTTCATTGGAAACACTATGAGTGTAAATTGACATAGGTAGTTCTTAAAACTTTAGGCCAATGTTTGAGTAAAAATACGAAATAGTTCGTACACTATGTTTTTAACTGTTCATTATTAGTCTTCTATAACAAATAATTGCATTTTAAAGGTGTATTAAATAACATTTTTTTTTGTGTTTTTTTTTTTTTAGTTACGTACTAATTACTTCCTATCCTTGGAAATTTCTGTGAAAACTTTGACCGGTGATATTTAAAAAAAAACATTGACTCACAAAAGAAAATATTAGTCACAAATAAACATAATTAGTATTGTATGACTTTCAAATTATTAAACAATATAAGTGCAAACAACTCTGCCGATAATTTTCGAACAGTTATAATTTTGTGAGTGTAATATTTTAATTATGTCCTTAGACTTTACATTATTACTATAAATTATTAAATTAAAATGGTAAATTTCTTAACAACCAAAATAAACAACGGCAGCTTAGATGAAATTATTTTGATGAAAACACTGAACTGCAAGCAATGACTTAAATACGTGATAACCCAGGTTCATATATAAGACATGTATCTCAATAAATTGGTATAACAGTTGGTGCAATACATACAATTTTGAAAAAAATCAAAAATTCATCATTAGCTTTTCTTGGAAATTAATTTCAGTTGTTTATTGACAATGTTCCATTAGCCACTTGAGAAAATATGTATTTTTAACAACAACCCTGTCGTAAGGCGTACGAGGTAAATAATTACCCCGGTCATATTTATATTGTGCATAGGTAATAAAATAATGTATTTAGGTGTTTGTCCTCCTCAGTAGCCTTAAATAATATACCTATAAATATACTGTTTGTTGTTTCATGTTTTTTTTGTACATTTTGTTTTATCTAGAACGTATTAAAGTCGTATACAGTGATGTCTGGAAATTATTTACCCCGTTTTTTTTTTACAAATCTTATTTTTGAATCACTCTGTATGGAGTAGAATATCTCTGTATATCACTCACAAGTACCTATTTTTCTACATATTACTTAAAAATGTTCAATGATATTTAATCATAATATGGTGTTATCAAAAGCGAATATATTCGTAGTACATTGGCATCGAGGCCATATTCACTACAGGAAAATATTATTATCTTTTTTAAAAATAGACTAAAATTAAATCCGATTGAGTTATTTGATTCTTAAAATAAATATGAATAGCAAACAAGAAAAATAGATCAATGAAGTTCAAATTATAACATAATTAGTGAATAATAACCTTGGGTTAAAAATTTACCCCGTGCGCGTAAATATAACATCCAAATGTGTGCGACGTACGACGGGTTAAAATTTTATTAAAAACTGATAATTCGTAAATATTAAATTCCAACATTCTAATAACATTGTCAATTTTGTAATTAGAATACAACTTTTTATAAAAAAATAGTTTTAAAAACAACTAATTGTATCTAAGGAGAAAAAATACCTTTTAAAAAAAAGTTGGTTGCGCGTACTGAGAAGTTTAACAATTTTAAATATATGAAGAAATGAGTATTTAGGTCCTCTATTTCATCCTCCAAAAATCCTATTTTAACTATAACAGAATATTGGTTTTCAAATGAAATGATTCATATTAATTTAGATATGCAATAAAAATGAAAATATTACATTTATGAATTTTGACGTGTTATTATTATCATACAACGAATTTTTCCATAGAATGTTGTTTGTTTTTTAAATCTAATGCTAAGATTAGAATAAAATAGAAAACATTTAAAATGCAGAATTCCAATAAATACTTGAATATCCGTTAAGACTATTTGATGGAAAAAAGGATACAAAAGAAGAAACATGATTTAAATAGTTCATCGTACCGTGTGCTAATCGTTAGTTTATAAGTATTTGTTTGTTCAACACTCAAGCAAAGATTGAAAATGAGCTTCTTTTGATAAACAAATTGACTATAAAACGTAGTAAATTATTTTAATTTTTTTTAATTTTTAACAAGTAAACAAAAAATTACAAATTTTTTAAATCGTACAAATATTTAAATAGATACAACACATTTTAAAAGATTATAATTGATTTTTGCAGGATGATTTTTGAAATAATTATGATGAATAAGAATCATATCATAATGATAATAAATTCCAATGTATTTTTCGGTCTTCAAAACAAAATTGAAGGTTTGAAATGGTACTAATTAAATACTAGAAAAAAAATTCTAAACGCCTTTGAAGAGGTTGTCATGTCTACCTTTACCATTACATAAATACCTTATCACCGATGATTAAACCTCGGCGTTTATTTCTTACGAAGCATGAATAAAATATTTTTCTTTTTCTCGATCATTTATCACAACTCCTTGGGTACAATACAGATGACGGTTGGTAGTGAAAATGTCGTCTCGGCCGGCGCCGCTTGAACTTAAGTTGTACACTCACATTTACCTGATGTACGGCAAGGCGCAGCAAAGATTAAGGTAGGTGTCCAGTTACACACAGGTTATATTTAGCAACCTCCAATTCGTAGCTTTGATTCGTCGAAACGATTAACGTTCCTTATTATTACTATAAATTCATTGCAAAAAAAAATAGATATTCACCCTTATTTCAGAAATCGCCAATGCGTTAGGCGGAACCGACAATAAATATTTTGTTTCCGATCATCACACGCGAAATATCGCAGTAGAAATCGCATATACGCACCTGCCGGAGTCTGCAAGTCGTTGCCGGCCACCGCGCCGTAAGTGGTTTTTGAACCGAAGTACACGTACGGGTTTTGGACGGTGCGGTAACACACATGGTCGTGGCTGGGCTGCTGGTGCAACGCAGTCGTCTCACCCTGTTGCCAGCCGGCGGTCAAGGCGAACGTCGTCACGACGGTGATGGCCCAGAGCAACAACGGGACCGTGGCGGACAGCTGCTGACGTCTAACGGTGGCGGCCATCGTCACGATACTAATGAACGGTCATCACAGCGGTGCAAAACGTTGTATACCCGTCACCGTGGTTATGTTTAATGTGGTTACTTATAGGAGGTGTTCGTCGCCGATGACGGACTTGCTAGGGGAGTTGGGGGAAAATCATCTCCCTGAGCCGGTAACGATTATTAGATCATGTATCAGCCAGAAGCATTAGAATAATAATATTTATTTTGCATGTGACATTATTATCATGCTTATTATAATAAAAGGAACGTAATAATTAATTATATAATAATATAAATTAGACAGTTATTAAATGAATAGGAAATAATAATAAATAGATTTTAAAATAAATTTTAATTTACAATAACATAATAAACCTTTGAAGTATGACAAACTCTACGTTTTTTTTTTTTTTTGTTATAAATCCGTAGATTTGTTTACTGCAGCTCTCCATGCTTCTCTATCATAGCACAACTCTTTCAGGTCCTTGTAATTTTCCTTATTTGTATCCTACATTATCTGTGTCATTTATTCTGCTCTTGCTCTTCCTCTTGCAATGTGTCCTTCAACATCTCCTTCAATTATTTTCTTAAATAAATTTTCTTGCCTTAATATGTCTCCTATCATCTTACCTCTTCTTGATTGAATATATTTCTTTTAATACTTAAATAATACTTTTCCATATTTGTCGTTGTTCCTTTATTTTATCTAGTATTTCCTTTTCGTTACCTTCTCAGTCCATGGTATTTTAAGCATTTTCCTGAAGCACCACATCCCGAAGGCTTCTAGCCTATTTTTTTTCGTTGAGTTTATTGTCCAGGTTTCGAATCCAAAGAGAGCTACTCTCCAAATAAAACTTTTTAGGAATTTCTTCCTTATATCCAGGCTAACACTATTGGTAGTTAATGTGGCTTTTGTCTTGAAATGCTCTTTTTGCCTGTGCTATCCTCCAGATTATATTTGTTTTATTGCGGCCATCCTCTGTTTTATTACTTTCTAGATTTGTGCATTGTAGCACTTATTTTATTTGTTCATTGTCGATATTTATGTTGAATCCAGTGGCGTAATTATGGGTGGGAGGATATGGAGATATACCCCTCAGACGTTTTTTTTTCGAATAACTATAATTAAATTTCTGTAAGTACTAAGTTTTAAAAGATTTGAAGATAAGTAATAAGAATTCATGGATATTATCATAGTTGAGATTAATTTTTATTTTACTAATATAAAACTACGATAGTTCAAAAATTACAATATATGACAAGAAAATTGTATAGCTCATATTTAAAATATAACACTAAAAAATTTACAATTAGAGTTTAAAGCATGCAAATTTCACAAAAACGTGAAACATTTGAAATTTTTTCTAATATAAATATTAATGTTAGTTATTTATCAATTATTTATTGTATAATTTAAAAGTTTTTATTATAATCATTGATATTAATGGAATGATTACAGTGGTTGACATATTATTACTATAATAACTATATGTATATATATATTGGGTCTTGTGTTTCGACTATTTATAGCATTATAGCTAAACTTGGTTTATTTTCCCAGGAAATTGCTTATCGACGACGTCGACAAATAATGTATCATTATATTATTTTATTCAGTGTTTAAGGTATTAACTATTTTCGAATATTATATTACTGTAAACATTGAGCAACAGTGCTACACCAATGTCTATTAATATTTACCTATATTATAATAAAACAAGTAATTAAATAATATTTTTTATTATTGTTTTTAAGATTTTCTATAGCAAACATTTTCTACATTTTTATATTATTATATTAAGATTGTCGTATACCTATCTTTCGACAGTATACTTCTATCTAACTTACAGATTAAAAATCGGATAGAGGAATAAAACTTAGTATTATAGCTACTCAAAAATAAAACAGTAATTTACACTATATACTAAAATTATTTTATTAAAACAAACATACAAAATCACAGGTCTCCAATACTTAAAGATACATACGCGCCTCAATGAAAAAACCCACATTACCCTATAATCACAGTGTTTATGTTCTTAAATATAATTTTACAAACTGCTGCCTCAGCTTATTTGCTTCATTTGACTTGCTATAGAAAATGCTATAAAATGGGTTGTTTCCCATGCTTTCTTGCTTTCCCATTGGGGCTAAAATTATAATATCCAAAGGCTTGTCTAGACTTGTATATCAAGGTTTAACAACAATGATTTTGGGCCTAATCTTAACTAAATTTGTAGGTATATTTAATTACTAAAATGTGTAAATAATTTAATAAATATAACTTTAATTTTTTTGTTTCAAAAATTAGTCCTAATAAGCTTGTTTTCCTAGAATTTCATATATTTTTCACATATAGTTTCGATCATTTATGATTTGTACTTTTTTAGTCAATTGTAGCTGTTATATTATTATGATAAGTTTTTGCAATATCTAATACCATTAAATGGAAATTCATTGAAAAATATTATAATGCATAATTAACATTTTTAGGACATAGTAGGTGTCACATTTTTTATTTTTAACTACAAAGAAAGTCTTGAAAAATAATGTATCTATTTTTCAAGCTTAAAGTCTAAAAATGTATAGTTTTATGATTATTGACTTCAAAACTGTAACGAATTTCTGTGATTTCTATCTTTTTACCTACATTTAAACGTTTGCATATAGGAACATAGAATGTAGACGTGGATCTACATATGTTTAATTTTAAGTTTGAATCGTTTATATTAATTAGAGCAAGTATTTCAGGACTATTAACTTTGGAATTTAATAAGTTTTAAAGCGAGCATATATTATTCAATTTTCTTCTAAATTCCAAATTTTCAATATTAAATTTAAAGTAGGAACTGAAATCTTAATGAATTTTACGGTTCTAGTTCCGGTTTGGTGTTAATAAAAACAATTTTTTTTGGTTTTGATACTGGTTCTGAAAATTTGAAAACTGAAATTTCGGTTTCGGAATTTTTTCTTTTTGGTTTAAAAAAAAAAAAAAACGAAAATCGGTTAAATTCGGTCGAAAACGAAACCGGTTAAAATTAAACTTGGTCAAACGGTCTTTAAAAATGTTCATACCGAACTAGTAGAGATATAAGCTCGATAGTAAATCTCAGTGTTTTTCTTCGATCTGATCCTTCGACTGAAGATTTGAGGTCAGCCAAGAAGTGCAAACAATCTAAATGACACATAATGCCGGTCTTTGGGCAATAAACCTAACCTTTAACAAAACTCGTATGACTGGCGATAATAACTTTTTTTAATATATAGTCTAACCATGAATATTGAAAGTACCATCCATATGATAACTATGATTCTTTTTCTTCTTATCTTTAGTCTTTCTCCCAACTATTTGGGATCGGCCACCCTTGTCCTAACTCTCCATTCTTCTCGATTTTTTACATCTCTTACACACACACCAACAGCCTTCATATGATTCTCAATCGTATCCAACCATCTCTTTTTGATCTTCCTCTTTTCCCTTCAACGTTTATTTTCTTAACCACTCTTATTGCTTTTGTTTCCTCTCGCCTCATCATCATAGTTTATTTTCTCTCATCTTGTTTGCTATTGACGCTACACCAATATTACCTCTCACATATTCGTTCCTTTTCTATCTTCTCTAGTCACTTCACTTATCTATCTAAGCATTCTCATTTCCGGAACACTCATACTCTGTTCTATCCTCCTGTTAACCGACACTTCAATGTTTTCAGTGCCCCCTCCTCTTATCAAGGTAAAAATATTAAAAATATCTGAGGAGGTACATTATCTGTATTAAAACTATTTAAAATTTTTTTTTTATAAAGTATGTTGCTCGACTTTTAAGCTATAGCTGATGTTATCACATAACTTTATCAACTAAAAATCTGATATAATCTACAAATATCAATTCTATTTAGTATTTTAATTGTTTAATTGCATTTTATAATTAAGTGCGTTGGGTTTTAGTTTCTCATTAGTCATTAATGCATGATTCATTGGAATTACGATCAAACCATTTCGTTTATTGAATTATATTGTAATCGAAGTTGTTTGTGGGATCCAACTGATCCATAATAAAAAAATAAAAACAAAAGGTATGTTGGACTTATGGCAATGGAAGTTTCTTTTGGCATAAAAAAACTGGATGTAGAAAAAAATATAAAAAATTGAAAAAATCAGTTTGTTAGAGAAAAGAAAATGGATAATGATTCTATGGTAGAAAAACTGGGAGTGGTGCAAACGAAGCGTATACCACCAAAACTCATATAATTTCTTAGCCGATAAAAATACTCTAAAAAGTACGCAAGCTACTGTAATATCTTCAGTATTACTCATTTATTGTATTTTATTTTATGTATCAATTACATAAAATAACAATTACATTTATGTAAATACTATGATAATAGAAAAAAAATTACACTTGATATCGTTTTTGTCGACTAGTCCAGTGGTGCGCAACCTGGGGGTCATAACATTTTATTTGAGGGTCGTCAATAATTTTACACCAAATGAAAAAAATTATTTTGTTCCATTGATGGCTGTATGAATCATAATACTATGTCATATTTATAGAATAGTAGTTAGTATTAGAATCATCGTTTACTCTATGATCATATCTTAATTTTGAAATAACAAGTTCTGTAATTTTATTTAATATCATGGTTATTATGAAATAATCCGATTGTCCTGTATGTTAAGTTCATCTTAATAATACTTATAATTCTGTATAGTTTGTAATCATTATTCGTATTATTCGTTATTATTTTGTATTATTTTATTATTTAATATATTTTTAATTAAACTATTCACCGATGAATAATGATGATGAAAGTGTTATTGAAACTAAAGTTCATAAAGTATCAGAAACATTGTCAAATGTAAAAACCAGTCGAAAATGTTTGAATCGAAAAATTAATAAAAAGGACCTTAAGTACCAAAACAGTTACATCAAGTTTAGATTTACTTCGATGTTGAATAAGGTAAACCAAAATGTGTTATTTGTTTAGAAAGATTAGATTTAAAAATTATGAAGCCATCAAAGCTAAAATGACATTTAGTAACTAAACATCTTCAATACCCAACATAATGAGGAGGACTTTTTTAAAAGGTATGAAAATTCAATAAAAGTTCAAAAAAATACTTTGTGTAATTTTACTTCAGTTCCAACAAAAGCTTTAGATACGTCATAAGAGGCTTCATTGTAATACATTGCGAAAACCAAAAAAATACACTCTATTTGTCTCTCGTCTTGCCAGCGGCAATAAAAATAGTATCAATTTTGGATGGCGAATCATATGCAAATTAACTAACAACAATACCCTTATCAAGATATACTGTGTCACGTCGAATTAAAAATATATATGATAATATAAAATTAACACTTCTAAATAGATTACGAGGAAATTATTTTGCAATGCAATTAGATGAATTTATGGATATAACTAATCTTGTTCAACTCCTTGTACATGTTAGATAAAAGTACTTATAAAGGAAAAATTGAAGAAAACTTTTTATTTTGTCAACCATTAGAAGGACGTACAACTGGAAATTATATTTTTATTCTTATAAAATTTTTTTTAAAAACTTATGAAATTCCTTGGTCAATGTGTGTATCACTATTTTGGTGCAGTTGCTTTTCAAAGAAAGTTCAAAAAAGGTTTTAAAACTAAATTTCTATACATTTCTTCAATTATAATGTTAAAATATTGTAAACTATTGTATGATTAACTTAAAAGCTCTAACTTCCAAAAAACTTCAATCAGTTGTTAATAAATTACTCTTTAATGCATAAAAGTAATATAAGTAATGCTATAAATCAGTCATTAAATTTCAGATTTTTTAATATACTTTGCAATGAAATAGGTTCTGACTATGAAAAATTGCTTCTCCATACCAAAGTAAGGTGGTTGTCTCGTGGTAAGACTTTATCACACTTTTTTGAACTCAGATATGAAGCATGAATTTTTCTTCTGGAATGTAATAATCACTTTCGGAACATTTATTAGACGAGCAATTCTAGGTTATCTTGCAGATATATTTAAGAGTATTATAACTACTCATCAAATAAATTCACAAACTTTAATGCATGATTTGAAGATTTTCTTTTCCAGAAAAAAATCTAGGTTGGATAAGAAATCTATTTAATTTTAATGTCAATTAAATAAATAATGGAGATATTCAATAGACCAAGTAATGTAAACAAGATCAAACGGAGCGAGTTAGAATGGGCAAGCCACGTATGTAGAAAACAAGATTTAATGGTTCAAAGAGTGCTCCAAGAAAACCCGAGGAGCAAAAACTTCTGAGTAGATCTAGGCTACGCTGAGAAGACAGAATCAAAAAAAATTTCCTAACTGCTAGAGGAGTGGATTATGGAAACATGAATTGGAAAGAGGTAGCGAAAATAGAGAAGAATGGGGGAGGATTTGTTCTAAGGCAAGATGGTCTTAAAGGCCTTTATAACAAATAAAAAAAAAAAATAAATGAAATAAAATTAGGAAAATTAGGAAATTAAAAATAAGCGAAGAACTTATTGACTTTTCATCAGATGAAAATCTACGTATCAGTTTTCAAGAAAATGCATGCGATACATTTTGGATTTCCATAAAATCTGAATATCCAGAATTATCAAAACAAGCCATATCGATTAATTCTTTTTGCATTGACTTATTTATGCGAAACAACATTTTTAACACTAGTAAAAACAAATATCGCTCCAGATTAAATGTCGAAGCAGATTTAAAAGTAGCAGTGTCAAATATCAAACTAAATATAGAAATAATCATGATACAATGTAAGCTCTGGTCTCTCTATAACTTTATTAAGCAGAAATTTTATAATTTTAAAAATGTTAAAATTTGATTATCATTATAATTATTTTAGTAAATTTTTAATTTTAGATTACGAGTATATAAAACTCTAATTTCGTATTTATTTTATTTTATGTTTTTTATGTTTTAGATTAATTAAATTAAAGAAATTTTTAAACTGTCTAGAATTAAGGATTTAATTTATATGAATAAAATGTTTGTATACATTAAGACTATTAGTTAAATATATATTAAAAAATTACATAATGTTGGTAGAAGGGGGTCGTATTATTAAAAGAAATAATTTTGGGGGTTATGGATCAAAGAATGTTGCGCATTCTTGGACTAGTCTACACACATTAATGTTAGTTTAGGACAAGTTGAAAGTTAAATGTGTCGACTGACACTGTCGATCGACACCATTCGGCATAGCATGGATGCGGCTTAAGATTAATTTTTATCTTTGAATATTAATTAAAAATTATTTAATATTAAATATTTAGGTGCACGACTCTCATTTTATTTGATAAATCACGTGGATTAAATTATTGATATCTAACACTCAGTATTTAATTTCTTTAAAATGTGTGTTCACTAGTTGATTGTCTTATACTTCTACTAAGTTTATGTTTAATTAATATTATTATATTATATTATATTATATTTTAAGTATTAATTTTACATAATTGGTCATAATTATAAAAAATATCGACCACCAATTTCAACAATAATTATTACAGCCTTCGATGAATTATAAAAAATAAACGTTATTATATGTAAAACGTTCAGATAAATACTTAGCATCCTATGTCCAATTGACTTATCATAATCTATTTTTTATGAACTTAAGTGTAAATAAATTAGTTTTTGAGATAAGAATATATTGGTGCGTATATCACAGTATAATATCAAATTTTAAATAATTTGAAGTACCAACAAAATAATAATAAATAATTATATTTTTATAATTTTTGCATTACCATTGTATTCTTTATACGGCGTATTTTTTAGAATTACATCGTAATGATGATATTTGTGTACAATTATAGTATATGTTAATATTAAATAAATAAGTACCTATTTGTTATATATTTCACATAACTGCGTAGTTACTTTATAATTATATCATAATTTTCGTACTCCCAGTAGTAAAGAATTATTTTATTTAATACTAAATGTTAATAAATTTAAGAATTACACTAATCGGATATCACTGCTTGAAGCCTTATTACCCATGAAAGTTATAAATTATCTAAGCATCATCAAACTTCCTAACAATATTCTATGGATTTTAAAAGTTGTATACCTTTTAATTATTAGAAAAATAATAATATGAATAATAATAATATTAATAATAATAATAATAATAATAATAATAATAATAATAATAATAATAATAATAA